GAGCATAAAGAGTTGAGATAACAAAAGATCTGCCCAGAGGAGGTTGGAAACAATTTTGATGTAAGCATTTGTGTATTAGGAATGGAGCCACTGGTCACAAGGTTGCTTGGTCTGTTCATATGGGTACAGTACCTAACCCTGTCTTATGCATATGACCACCATACTACAGTGTATATTTTCTACTCAGTTGAGCTTTTTAAATTTCAAATGGTTCTCAAGCTTCCCTTGTAGCTCCATTTTAATGCCTTTCAGAGGAATTTCCTGTGGCCCTTACTTTAATAACCAGGGAAGTCCTCAATTTTCTGGGTTTTGGTATTTCAAGGCCTCACCTCTATGAGGACTTCAGTGTGCTCTTTACTCAAGACCACTTCTCCCCTTAAGCAAGAAGGGATTCACGATAATCTATCTTTATTTATTGCTAAGGTGAAAATATACCTGTACAGCAAAGCCCACAAACCTTACCAGAACACTTACAGATCATCGCTGCTGCTATTAGATCAGTATTAGCACATATTTATGTCAATCTTTAAAATGAGAACAAAACCACCAGAAAACTCACTTAAAATCCAAACACTTATCAAAGACATTCCTGTAACAAAAACACTTTCAAGGCTGAAGTCTTTAAAACAACAGTGAAATAACATTAATCTCAGTGCCTTCTCAATCACTAGAATAACTGCCTTTTGTTATTTCCAAGCTAAAGTAACATAACAATTGTATCTCTTCCCTCTGTATATTTTATATTTAACAATTTATGATCAGTGAATCAATACAGTATTATGCAAGTCCAAGTCAGTTTCAAACAGAGATTTACATTGTGAGTATGACATTCAACCACAAAATACTTAGAGCAATAGATTGTTTGCTGGTATATCTTCATGAAAAGGACTATATATAATATAGAGAATATAGAAATGTTCCAACAGTGATACAAGAAAAAACCTACAGAAAATTTGAGTCACTGATCTTAAATTGTTTTTATGTCTGAGCTTAAAACAGAACTTGATAAAATATTCAGGCTAGTAATCTTCCACCATAGCAGCACCTATTTTTCTGTAGTTCACACAAAAGCACAACTACTTTAACTGAAATTATCACAGCTGTCAACCACTTTTATAACTACAAGAAGCTGGACCCTAAGTTACCACTAATACATAAGCTCAAATAAGTTCATGAACTTATCCTTAGTTCAATAGGTTCCAATGGGATGGTTTCAATTACAAGAAAAAAACAGACTACATTTTTTTCCATTAGCTTTTCTCCTAAGTAATTCTTAAAGCAGGCATAAACAATGAACCAAACCATATCACACTCAATAGAAAAACAAGGGGAATCTCTTAATTTTGCAGTTGGAGCAAGCAGACAAATTACTATCAGTGTCTTATGCAACAATACAGGGACAAAGACTATGCAATGCCAGACCATCAGTCAGTCAGGAAAGGTGTAGTGCATCCTACTTGATCACCTATGGAGCAAATGAACACGCACTGCTAAAAATAATGAAGAGTCCTCCTTCATATTAAAAACTTGCTTATATGGATAGCAAAAAAATGCTTCAAAGTCCATGAACTATATTGCCTAGTTTATCACTACAGTTAAACTACAGTTGTAAGGAGAGTATGTTTCATATTTTCATAATACAGTGATTGCCTATGTGAAATATTTCATTTGTGTTACACATTCATACAGATTTATTCCACAATACAACAAATTATAAAGAATATTCCCCAAAGGATTGGGTTTGCATTTGCCTGTCTATCTTATGGTCATTTTACACAGCAAAGAGTTGAGCTTTGCAGGCATTTTTGAATATATGAAAATATACGCAAACCCAAAAAAACTGGCCAAGGGAAAGAAAAAATAGAAAAAATAAAAGCACATGTAATAAAGAGAGGTGTTTCATCTCCTGAAAACTGACCCAATTCCAAATTATGGATTTAGATTTCCTTTAATCCTATTTTCCATGTTTTTGGCAGACACACATTTGCCCTTTCATTCAATCAATTAAAAAATAAACAAGTTTTCATGAATATGTACATTGACATGACTTTGCACAGGACCTTCTTCACTTCTACCTCTCTGCAGACTCAGAGAAAGATTCTTTCAGCAGTAAAACACCAACTTGACCAATTCTCTCTCCTGTTTGTGTGCACAGTTACTTGTTGACAGCATAGCAGGCTGCTCCAACTGAAAGTTCAGGCACAAACATTTGGATGCAATGTCATAAACTGATCACAGAGCTGATGTGAATGAGAAAATATAATTAAAAAAAAAAAAAAAAACACAAGACCACCCAAAAAATACAACCAGTACCCCTTGTTATTTATTTTGAAAAGAGTATATTTAAGTCACATCATTACAAAACATAGTTGATAACACAGACAGATGGGAATGATCAGCGCTGGGAGGAAATCCCTTAAGCTGCCAAAAACTTCAGCTTTGTGAAACTATTCTCAGCATTCATGGAAAGTATTCAAGGCTCTCTAACTCTTAATCCCAGTTCATATTTCAACATGCACTCAATGCAGTGCAGCAACATCAGGTAAGAGAACAGACATGCAAGTGTGAAAGTTTATGAAGACCTTGCAGTATGTTGTAGAAACAGGATTGCATTTTTGATTAAAATACCCTGAGGCATAATATTTTTTGACATTGCTTACACTAAAAATTTATCATTATAAACCTAACATTGGCAAAATTATATTTCTGTTGATTTTGAGTCTATCATCAAGTGATTTTGCTTTACAGCATAAGTTTTTTTTTACAATAATTGCAAAGGAAAAGGGGAGAGAAAAACCAAGACACAATGCTGTATTAGAACATCAATGCTCCACACTACGGCTAATTGCTGTGAACCTGTTAACTACAGCAGTTTGCTCCTAGAGAGTAAAAAGCCTCACCCACTTCCAAATCATGCATCTGCTCTAGACTATCTAAAGAGAATGAATTTTGCAACGACTGATACAGCATTTTTCTCTCAGACAAGGTCACATTGCCTAAACAGAGATATTAACTTTACTACTCCTAAGTAAATAAGCCATAGGGCGCTTAGGGGAAGAAATAGCATAATTTTGGTACTTCTTTTCCCCATTTGGGACAGTCAAGTGAAAAGTGTTTTAACCACTATCCCTGTATTGACTGCTCATCTGGCATAGGTGACAGAGTGCATTGTCCCCAGTATCCTACAAAGACCACAACACAGATCTCTATCACACAGAAATCTGCCTACAGACCACAGAACCAAAATACTACCATTAAACCATTTTAGCAGATATAATACATTTCCTGAGGAAGCATAATTTGCTGTCTGAGGATTATAAGTTAATTAAGGTATTTTCACCACACAGAGTTAAAAAAGATCCTAAAAAAAATCTGAACAGAAACTGTATGTGGCATAAAGTGTTTGAAAAGGTAACTGTAAATAATTAGTAAATAAATAATTTTAAGGCAGAATATATTAAAATTGCAACTGTTTGAAATGATGCCTAACTTCCAATGTCAAAACAAGTAGCTGATAGAAAAAAGCTGTTTCAGGCCTTGTTCACTAGTGACTAGTAAAGAATTTTAAGCATCTGCAATAGAGAGTAACAAAATTCCAAAATTTTTAGCTTCTAACATATTTAATTAACCTTTAGAAGACAATAATGCACTTCTCAAACTTCAGTTTGTCCATATCCTTGATTTTAGCTTTTCATTACTATATAAACTGCTGGAAGAAGGAAATTATTGAACTTGGGATTTTCAATTTTATAGCAGTAGAGATTATATTGAATTGCACACACAGAGAAAGAGCTTTTTCTTACACTCGCTGCAATCCCCAGATGCATTCAATGATAAAGTTTCTGTAACTTGAATCAAGTATACTGACTACCACTTCTCATTTTTGCCATGATATCAACAAAAAAGTCATTCCTCTTTCCTGCCATAAACATTTTCAAATATCACAAAGAATAAATATCTTACTGAACATAAAAGCCTCTCTGACTCCAAGGCAAAGCGGAAAAATAAGAGAGATAATTCAAAATACTTGACCATAGCAACTTAAAGCAGACAGAAATATTAATTTTTACTTCTTTGATGACTTTATAGATTTCCACAAGATGGTGCTGTAGTCCTATTTTAAGACATTGCTCTAACATTTAGGAAAAAACCTCATTTCATTTCATTGTTAGAACAATGAACAGTGATTTGCAAGGCCTATTTTCAGTTAAGGGGCAAAACACATCCCTACTGTGTAATTTTCCAACCTTGTAGGTTCTTTTATTTTTAAATAACTGAAAAAGTAAGTCCAATCACAAAAGTAAAAAGAAAATAGAACTAGTTTATATAACATAAAAGATCGCCATAAGGTCTTCTGTTTCTGTGTAAAATAAAGCCCATTTATATTCCATATGGTTATAGAAAAAAAAACCCATAATTATTGTTAAAACACAGAAATCACTTTTTACAGTATGTCAAAACAGCTGCTTTTGCCTTCAGCTGTAAACTCTCCACCAAAAAATTCCAACTGGTTTGTAATATCAAACCCCAAAACCTTTTAGAGCGAAGTATTAAAACACAAAGGAACCTTGATATAATAGGCTACCAATTTACAAAGAGTAATAAACAAATAAATAAATCTAATCGAGTCTCACACATCTTTGGTTTGATCATATGTTTATGGAAATCTTACATCCACTTATGTCTCCAAACAGAAATCTTAATATGGCTTCAAATAATGAAAATGTTGTGTTTCTTTGTATACTGACTGGTCTCCATCTGTGCTGCTGGTCTTAAAATGTGTTGGGTAAGAGCACTAAAACACTCAACACATCTCTTGCAGTCAAAGTCTGTGGACTTACTTGCACATTTTAGTGTTTAGGATCAAACTGACCCTCACATTGTCAGTGTTAATGGAAGCCATAAAGTGTTGGTGCTCTCTAGCTCAGCATGAAAACTTATATTTAAAACTGAAAAAAAAAAAAACAAAAAAACCAGCAAAAAGGTATTTTTGAAACTGCATATGTAAGTTTTTTATTAAGACTTATTCAACAGTACAGATGGTAAGATGGTATGTAAGAATGCCTCTTGGGTGTAATATGCAAGTTCCAGCTGGAATGTTTCCAACAGGATGTAAGCCATGGTCCTCAAGCCCGCACTTTAGAAAACATATTACTTAGCACACTGCTAACAAATGTCAACACAAGAATACACTCCTGTAATGACTTCAATTTACAAAAGCACAAGGAGGAGGGAAAAAGCTATTTGAACAGTCTTTAAACGTGGGCATGGGGAGGGAAATCAATACACAGATGCATGAATAAAATATTTATTCAAAGCAATAGATGCACTGGTGATCATTACAAATTCGATATATTAAAAATTTAATGCTGTACAAACATACAGATTATTTCTGGTATCCATAAGTCTGCAGAGACCAGGTCTGAAGATCTGTGCTTTCAGGTATTCCTAGTGATGGGTTTGGTGTTTTGAACAAGTTGAAGGTTTCTTCAATTCTGAAAATAAATGTTGTTTACATACACTTAACAAAATAAGGTACAAAATAACTGACTTGCTTTTAACTTCCTAATTGTCCAAAATACTAATAAGCAGCATGCCCCTTTAAGTTTTCCCTTATCCTGCCCTTTTCCTCTGCAATTGGTTTCTATTTTAAATGCCTACCATATATCAATAAACCTTAAGTACACAAAGAAAGAAGTAACCCACATAATAAAATTAAAATCACATAAAAGGTTAGAGCTTTTTATAGGCCACGCACTTAGAAAAGAGAAATCTCTTTCCAGAGAAACACTGTAAAGCAACATATTTCTCCTCAAGTACAATAAAAATATAATAAAAAATTGTATTATAGATCTCAGAATTAATATCAAATATATCTTAATATAGTTATTATAATGCTTAGGCTGAAATTGGTTTTACTTTTCCTTAAATAATAAAAAACAGTTAAGATAACATAGGTAATTTTCAGGAAGAAAAGTTGCAAGTACCAAGTAATTTCAATCAGGAAATAAGTAATATTCCGATTTCTTATCAACCAAATTCTAAACACGCTTTAATCTCTAGTTAATACTATTAAGAGTGCTTTCTATTGCTTTTTAGAAACAAAAGCAGTGACTCATCCCACAAATCCAAAACTGTAAGTGGATTTACTATCCAGTAGAGCCATAAGGAAATGCCACACCTGATGTAGAGACCTTTGAGGTTTGGAACACATATGTACATTCTCTGTGTGCCTTAGTCCAGTACGACTCCCTCCTGGGAAATAAATTCCTGCTGCCCCTTCCTATTACTTACATTTTACTTATCTTTTCCATTCTTTGTCTTATTGTCTCCTACAATTTAAAAGCAATAAAGTTAGTGAACTCTTCAAAGATGACATTCTTCAGATAGACTTTCAACTTAAAATTCAGAGAAAATGCAACTTTAAGCACTGTTTACATATGAAAAGTATTTTTATGAGACAGACCTAGATGTAGTTTTGCATAGTTTCAGTGTTTTTCTATCAGTATATACAACTAATACCTATGCTTACTTGTTCTCTTGACCTCAAAGGAAATCAACTGAGCATTCACCAGTTATACTTACCTTTGAAATGTCTGTCAGATCATGAGAATTAATGGTCATGTCTTTGGGAGACTGGTCTGTGGATAACAGTGAACTGCATCCAGACGACTGAGGATGACTCTCTGGCATCTCCTCATTCCTCTCTGTATCTATAGAGAAATGCTCAGTTTTATGTCACCTTTGCCTTTTTGCTCTCTTTTGCAAGGTCAGCTATCAAATAACTTGATTTACAGTAGGTAATAACAGAAGAGAATGCATTGTTTAGAGAGGGAAAAGCAAAAGCTACAGGAGTCCAAAATAGGTTTCTCATTTTTTTGAAACAAGTGCAGTATTACACTATGTATAATGTATATAATATACAAAAAGCAAATTCCAAAGATTACTATGAAGATTTTTCTCCTGAGTAGAGGAAAACCAAAGCTTGTGAACATCTGATTACAGTGCCAAACATTTAACAGTAATTTCATACAGTTTACATTACTTTTATTGTAAACTGCCTGTTCAAACATGTCATTAATTTGTGCTAAGTAAACTGTCTTATAACTAGCAGAATTTTTTTTTCCACATTTGGAAGGCTGTGATATTCTTTGCAATTTTAGATTGCTATTGTCAGGGAAGAGAACATAGTATCTTGAAAAAAAAAAAGTGTTCCCATATCCATTTTTTAGTGATGTCACCATCAATACATCATGCCTTTGGAATGCACTTAGCTATGCTATTTTGTATCTAAAACTCATATTAAACTGTTTTTAAATACCTAAATTAAAAATTGTTTATTTGGTACTGCTGTGATTTCTGAAGAGTGCTACAACTAAAAAGAGCCTGAAAGGATTCCAAGTAGTATACTCTCAGATAAAAGAGTAAAGACTGTCCCCATAACTTTTAAGCCTAAAATTTCCTGCATTTTAGAACTGCAGGAATAACAAATTCAGAAGAATTTGGGGAGTCTGAAAACATGAAAATTCTCTTTCAAAAACCATCTGCCTGTTTACTTACTATAAAGTCCTCAAGTGTCAGTAACATAGCACTAAACTTACCAAAGGAAGTAAACATGTTGCAAGCTTTCTTTGTCCTGTAAAATGAAGGTCCCATTTCTGAGACTCAATAAAAACAAGCTCTGACATAACCAAGAACTGCCTTCCTAATTTCCATGGAAACTGGATTACTGAGACTCCCTTTTAATTACAATTCAAGAGCCCAACACTGGACAAAAAAGCCTAATGTGTGAGAATGGAAAATAGAATATCCTCCTTACCACTGGCGGTAGGAGTAACAGCTGCCACAAGGGAAAGAGGCCAAATCAAGGAAGAGAACAGAGGGAGCTAAGGGAGCTAACAGAGCTGCAGAGCTGAGGGCTAAAGAGCTACCACTGAGGAAGGCAGAAGAATTACTCATGGCCTGGGGAGTGCTTTTAACTTCTTTCCCACTCAAGTCTGCTTCGTTTACTTCTTGTATGTTATCAAAATTAAACAGAAGTTGGAAATGGAAGAAAAAGATTTTGTCTTTCTCTTCAGAACAAGAAAGTTTATCAAAAATTCCAGTTGGATAGCTGCTAACTGCTGCAGAGATGAAATACAGGAAACATTTAGTAGTGAGCTGAAGACCAACAAAGACTATTATTTGTCTGTGCCCCATTAAAAACAAGAAAACAGCAACCTAAAGATATTAGTGGCAGCAAAAATAACTCCACTTCAAGAACACTGCATTTTAAAAATTGCTTTAAAGTCCAGATGACAGCATTGTTTTTCACAGCTTAAGTAACAGAATCTTAATTAAATTTGCATATTTGATATTTTTAGTAGCTGTTTCTAACCATTACTTACTATGCTATAGCAACCAAATCATCTAAAGAATAAAATTAGAAACATGAAATGATGAGGAGGTTAACTTCTAATCTGCAGTATGGTTTAAAATTCAGAGGTCACAATTACAGTTACCTACTTAAAGTATTACAGTCAAGACCAGCAAGAAGTGTTTAGCTTATTTACGCTAATTAAAAGAAAAATCATTAATACTCACCAAGAGGTACTGGAATGGTACTAGATGTACTTTCTTGATTAATATTGCTGGACTCTTTTGATAAGTCTTTCTGAAATACAAGTTTACTGCATTTTAGCCATACATCCTGTTTAAATCATCTGACTGAACAAAAGTATATTTAAGTACTAGGTATCTATGTATGTATTTGCTCACTACACGATTCAGATATGCTGGCACTGCACAAATATCTTCACAGGACTAAAAAAAAATCAACATCTCCATACATGCACTTCATTAAAAAACTAGTCTATTTAATGGGTCTTTTTTTTTTAACATCAATATTGCTGCTCATAAAGAGGTCAAAACCAGGCCAAAATACAGTGCATATAACTTAATTATGAGTAGAATGGACAATCAGAATGGTCTTAGCCTGTACCAATCATTTCATCTCAACAATGGTTGCCATTAGCTTAAAGTAAGTGTGGCTTCTACTGCTGGTTGATATTCAAAAATACAGTCCTCAGTCCTAAAAAAAATAGCCTATAGGCTAATTGAAATTCATTCCACCTAGTGCTTAGAACTCAGAAGGCTATTTTAAGCTATTTCCCAGGCTCCTAAAAGAGAGAGGGCTCTTTTAAGAAACATTCTCAGTTTAACTCAATCTAACTTTTAAAAAGTTAGAAGGAAACAATAGTAAACTTTCTAATTTCAAAGTAAAAAATGCAACTCTCAAACAATATCTAGACTTTTTTCTACCAATGAATTATTATGATTTGACATCTCCGCCTTTATATACCGGAGTAACAGCATCAGCTAACAGGGGAATACTAAACCCAAATAAATGAATGAAGGAGGAATTGTATGGGAAAACGCTGAAAAAAACTGTAATAATGTCTTAAAAAATACAAAAATAGATTCTGCACAGACTATGTCTGTTCAATTCCTTTCATTGAAATGGATTTGGTAGTTTTCAGACTTTCCCAGAGCTAAATGCACAGCTGCTGCTACTTTGGCAACAGCAGAAGACAGAACTTAAGAGTGCTCCTGCTGTGTTGGTTAGATGCCAAAAGGTCCCTGAAAAGTACAAGAGTAAGAGAGGAGTAATTCTGAATTGCTTCTGAATGTGTGAAGCACGACTTGGATGTAATTTTATTAAACAAAAAAGCTGCAATTCTGTCCCAAAGGATTATTTCCTAGCAGTTTTCAAATGTCTATTGGAAAACAGTTTTGAAGACTATGTATAAATATATATATATATATATATATATATATACTTGTATATACAATGCCACACAGAAACTATAACTGAACTTGTATCTACAAGTGAATTTTTTCAGTAACATACAGTACAGAAATATAATTATCTCACTGGAAATTTATGAGTGATATTTTTGAGAGTATTTTCCAAATACTATTCTAACCACACAAACAACTGCAATAAACATGTTACTGAAGCAGTAACAAACCAAATTTACAAAAACAAAAGAACAGGTCTAGTCTGAAACATGAGCTTTCCCACGTGCTACAGTAATTTCTTGAAAAGAATACATTTGAAACAGGAGAAAAATGTCTATGGCTGTTCACCTGAAGGCCTCTTGAGACTACTGCCAGAAAAAAAAACATTGTCTTTGGTGGTATTATTTGGACATATGTCTACTGATCCATAAGAATCTGATTTCAGATGGTAAATCACTTGAGCTCCTACTGATCAAAAACTTTTTAAGTGATTGAGAATATCCATCCTCACTAATTGAGCTACAGCCTTTAGAAATAACCTAGTGAGCAGTCTGAACACCTGTCCATTTCAAGACTTTGCATAACCACCACACTTCCAAGGCACAGAGTAAAACATGTATAATATAAAAGTATTAGCAACATTTTCAAATTTGTGGGGTCAGCAACATCCGCAGAATTTCTGGTCATGAATAAATTCAACAGTTTTACACTGCAAAAAAAATGCAAACCCACAAGGGTTTTCAACTTCTGGAAACCATCTGAAAGTTTCTGAAGGATATACAAGATATATGAGAGAATAAAATTTTTGGATCATATGATTAATTTCAAAGTGATGCTATGGTTCACTGCAACTCAAAATATTTACATGTGTACATGTATCAAATTACATAATGTGCACAAGGACCTTTCAACAGCATGAAAAATAACCCAGTCTTAATGCAACAAGAGGCTTTATTGGGTATGCCAAATGGAGCCACATCACAACTGCAGTGCTTTTACACATTCAAAAATGCAATGAACATCACTGACAAGAAATAAGAAGTGGGGCAGAGAGTGGAAAAAAAAACCCCATTGATAGGCTAGAAATGTCAAGGACCAATAAATTAAACACAGAACTAAAATAAGAATTAACTTTCTGATTAACCCTGTATTTTCTATTGTGCATGCCATCCATTTTTGTCACTATCATTTGCAGAGAATGAAGAGTCCATGTTCAAAAACTTCCTTCTAAAACTTCAGAAGTAAATAAAATGGCACTGAATCATTACTAGTGAGAAAAGATGGAGAGCTTTGGTTCATGAAGTATCAGAGAATAGAATTGAACAGCTAAGAAAAAATACCATCAACTTCATAAACAGCACTTGCATTCAGATTGTGCCTTTAAAACCTTTAAAGTGAAAAAAACAGATCAGGAGGCAGGGAGGGCAGAAACAAACCAACAAGACTGTGTTTGGATGATTTTTATTATAGAATTAAAAGAGAAATTAACACACCTTTTGGGATTGTAACAACAGTTCTGTTTCGAGAAGCAAAATTCGATTCAGTAAGTTATTCCAGTCCTTCTCATCTATGATCACCTTTCCCTGCAGTTTCTCTTCTAAAACTTGTAGCTTATCTTCTATCCAATCTAGCTTCTGAAGCTTTTCCTGGAAATCTGCAAGCTGATTCTTTAAACACTCAATTTGTGAATTTTCTTCTATGACCTGAAAATATCGATAAGAATATGTCCTCTAATTGCAAAACAAAAACAATTCATCATTTGATCAAACGAATTAAGTGCAATCTTCAAGTTTGGTAATCACATCCTGCTACATCAGAAAATTATTTTTCTTCCAGAATCACCAAAATATGCCTACTCGGGGAACTCAGCTTTTAAAATAAGCTGTTGACAGAACTGTCTTGGAAGAGACAGTGCAATTTAAGTGACTTTTCCTTTTTCCAGATTTTTTAATATATTTATTAAGTATCAGCTGCATGCACCTGAAGTACAACTATAATGTAAAAACCTTTATCCGTTTAGAAAAATTCTGTAAAAAAAAGAGAGCATCTTAAAATAGAAGTTCTTACTTGTTCACATTTAACTTCCACAGTATCATGATCTAGGCATAATTCTTCTTCGTTCCCTCCCTGTGCTGGAAGGGGTAGTGGACGAAGGTCACCACTGACTTCATTTCCTGAGTGCCGTTCCACTAGAGGCTTCTTTTAAGTGTGTTTAAAAACAAACAAACAAAACCAACAGTTACAAGAATATTTCAATTCATTAGCTAAGTAATAACATATAAGACATATTACTTCAATATTTATTTAAATCTAACTCTCTTATCCCAACTGGTTACAAAATACAGAAAGTAATAGCAGGCAGTTTAATTTCTAAAAAATCATAAAGACTTGAAGGAGCTCAAAACAAACAAAAAATGCATAAACAAACATGCACACACTTTACCATATATACTGTGCACCTTGGTTCCTTTCCATAAACACTAATGAAAACATGAATGTCTTCTCTTAATGTAAAGGCTGTTAGATTTCTAAGTTTGGACTGGAAAATATACTATTATATACAGCGAGATTCATGTGTATAGACAATTCCAACATCAAAACCACAACTAAAACTTTAAGAAGAAAAAAGACTTAACTAGGAAGATTAGAATTCTTCCTTTTTCTTGAAAACTGTCAGCAAATAGCCCTATGAGCTATATATTACTTTCCTTTGAAGGCTTCCCTTAGAGAAAACAAAGAGAAATCAATTATTTCTAGGTGGATTAAATCCTATGATACTATCACAAAATAAAATACTTAATGATTAAGAATGCACAATTACTAGTTCTGTGTAGCATCTTAATATGTACAGATTCCTCAGTATTTTAGTTAAACTGAAACTCTCCTTTACTAGGGAATTCTTAAAACACACGTATCTATCCCCATTCAGTGCTACTTTAAACAGCCATAAGAGACAGAGAAGCCATTCCAAATACTTTCTTTGTGAAAGAAAGTATTTCCTTGATAAAAGCAGGACTTTCCTTCTAAGTAGAAATCACCAACTATTAACAGGCAGTCATGGTGCTAAAAGTTTTCTACAATTTTATTCTGCACCCTTTTAGCAGAAAATAGCAGGAAAGCTGCTTTCTTCACATGGCATAATGTATAATCATTTTTGCCCAATGCATAATCATTTCACCTTTGTAAAAGCAAAGCCAAGAGGAATGCTACATTACGAAAACTTGCTCAACAGATTCAACCAACAGTATTTGAAAAGCTGTGTTGAAAACGTGTTAGGCCAAGCAGATTTCACTTTCAAACATGATATAGTTTCTTTGCCCTATTGTATCTTTTTCCATTGCTCACCCTTACACTTGATACAATTCAAATACAGCACAAAAACAGCACTAGGTCATTACGACCAAAACTTTGAGATCAACTACTCAGTAAAAGAGAGAGGCAGCATCCTCTGTATTTCAGCTATTATTTCAGCCAACCATACTTCGGGGAAAAACAAACACCAGCCCATCTCAAAACTGGTTTGATTAAGTATTAAAACCAAAACGAAAGCAAAAAATTTCAGCAAGAGCCTGAATTGCTACAAATGAGATTAACCTTTAGATATAAAACAAAAAAATTATTTTCATACCTGTTTGGAATTCAGAGCGCTGCCACTTGGATCAGCAAGACCTTTACCACAATTTGACCATACTTCAAATTTAAAAGGTCTGATTTTTTTCCTCGTTTGGGATTTAACCTCCAAAGTGAACAGAAGAAAATAACACATGAAAATTTTCAGGATTCCACACCCCACTTTCTAACACCATCACTGAAAGTCAGGAATATTTAATGGCGCGCACACACAAACACATTTAATACAATAGTACAATTTTGTACTGTAGCACAATAATGTCTAAAAAATATATAAATATGACCCAAATTTACAGAGAATGCAGATCCAGAAGTGAATGCCATACTTTTAAACTCACAAATGCCTATGCTAGGTTGCATCAATAGATGGTTAGAAATAGAAAAGACAACTTGCACCAGAGTTGAAAGTTGAAAGTAAAACAAATACAAAAAAAGTAGTTACTGTGGTTAAATGTAGTCTTCAAAACTGTCAAATTATGTATACAGAAGACTTGCTAAAAACTCAAAAGAAACAAAATCCTGTAAAGACTGGAAATACCTTTCATTAAAGCAGAGACAGATACACAACACACACTGATAAAAAATAATGCCATTACAAGTATCGTTGATGAAAATAATCAGACTTGAGAAACAAACTAAGAGGCATGTTTAAATTGTTACAGAAATTCAACATATGAGATGATTTTGCTTTGCCCTTAAATTTATCTGAAAAGTTTACTGATTCACATGTTGACTATATCAAGAAGTATAAAAGCAAAGCTATCACCTATTGTAAAGACAACAATTAGATTTATCTTCATTCGAATTTTTTTTATACTACAAAGTATTGGCAGCTTCATGTCTTGAATGAAAGTATTCAAGCATCTTAAAATGGAACGTCATACTGACTTTCCATTATTTGATCCATGAGCAATGCTGCTACTTCAAACAGAAGCTGAAGACTAGTTTATCTGCAGCATCAAACAGGTCAAAAGAAACGTATAATAAAAGTAACCATTTGATCAGTACCTTACTAGAGTTACTCAACTCCTTATGTTTCTTCACCACACAGTTGATAATGTCACAAACAATTTGCATTTTTCTTTCTGCAAAGCCAAACTGAAGAAACTGCTCTTTTGTTAAAATTGGTTTATACTGAAATTGATCTCGAAGAAACTGCAACAAAATAAGAGTTTACTTCACTTTCAAAATCACCTCACAATTTGCTGTAGAAATGGCATGCTCATATTCTTCTTATACTACCATCTTTTCTTTCATTCTGCACTTCAGCAGTTAAGCCTTTTCTCATTTGATTATTTATATATATATACAAAAACATATATAGCTGTTTCTTTTAACTAGGCTTTAAACATATCTCCTCTTCCAGAAAGGAAGGCCTTAAGCATATCTCCTCTTTCATTCACACCACTCCTGTAAATTTCAACTCATAGTCTTAAGATTCAAGAAATAAAGTACTATAAAAATTAATACTAAAAAACTTAAACTAAGAGCTTTTAAAGTGAATGCACAATAAAATGTATTAATCTCAGCAAATGCATCAGAGGGCCACGTAAGGCTCCCACAGAACCCTGTAAAGCAGTATCTCAGATGGAAAACTAGTCTGAATAAGCCACTATTTCTTAATTCAGCAATCCACCTTTCAAAAAACGTAAGTATAGTTCAAAGTTAATTTCAATCAGTTACAAATTTAATTCCAATTTATAAAAGGTTAAGTATTCAACTTTATACATTAAAATGGCAGAGAGTTTCAAAATAGCTGCATTTTTTAATTGTGCTTACAATTTTTTTAGTTTCTTATGATTTTTTTGGTGGTTAAGATTTTTGCCAAGGTCACTTATATAAATCCTATTGCTGAATAAACATTTCTGTGTTCTTCCAAACTAACATCTAACAATATTACTGTTTCTGCAAAGGTCTCAAAATTGAGATTTGGCTACCACCACCCATCCTTATTTTCATTAAAATCTAAAAATTTGTACACAGTGACTTACTACCCATCTTAAATCCCAACAGAACTAAAATTCATGTATATTGCAAAAAACTTTCACTTTCTAGTAAAGCTCATAGTAAATGTTTAATTTTTGTGAGGTTGTACTCAAACCCACGTTTCTTTTGCAAAGAACATGAAGAGATACCTTATAAACAGCTTCGATAAAACGCAAGTCACTCTTGGCTGTCAGTTCCACATCACACTTTACCAAAAGGTCGGCTATGCAAGTTGAAAAAGATGTAAAACAATAGCTGATGATAGGTAAAAATGCAGCTGGATCACCCTTTACTAACCTGTTAAGAAACAAAAGTATTTTACACAGCAGAAGGTAACAAAAGCCTTTCATTATATGAATTCAAATATTCAACTTGAAAGGAATAAACAAAGTCAGCACATTATATCCAAATATCTTTCATTTTAAGGGTTTTTTGTCCAGGCATCTCTCATTCAACCGTCTTTCCTGTTATCTGCAAAATGCTGAAAAAAAAGTTTTTGTGATCTTTATATAATTTAAACATTGTCAAGCCTAAAGCCCACCAGCATTTCTAGCTCAACAATCAGACCTCTTTTTTTTTGTTTCTAGTCTTCACAGGACAAAATTTCCTGAAGGAAGTTTTGCAAGCACTTCCAAAGAAACCAGAAAGGTGAGATTAACCAAAACAAAGACAAGAACGGCAGAAGAGGAGCAAGACAGTAATACAGCTCAGGATTGTTCTCAGGATTGCTCAGAAGAGCAGAAGTGCATACTTTTATATTCCAGTTCACATAGACCACATCCCAACTTCCCAGAGTTATGTTCTGCTTACTTATCACCAGATGCAATGCTAATACTTATTAAACTATCTTGTTTACACACCTTGCTCTCATCATGTGTTAGCATAAGTTTTCACACTGCCACTTACACTGTATAATCCACATCTCTTGGATAACTTAACAAGCGAAGTCCTTGTTCGATTTTTCTTAAACTTCCATTTAGGTCTCCTGTTGCCATTATTCCAAATGCTATTCTTCTTTCAGATTATGAAATAAAAGGAAAAAAGTACGTCTGTTCAAAAAAATTACGTACACAAAAATTACAAAATGCAATAATCACTTAAATTCAACTTTCTGCTAGAACGTGGGAGATATTTACCTGCCACTATCTTCACTAAATTTCTCTTCTTGCTACAAAACAAGCATTTTGAAGCCTACCAATCCAAGCAGTGAAGAGGCACAGTCACACAGCCTATAAATGAAGCAATGCTCTCAAGAGACAGGTAAAGCTTGCATTTACAGTGGGCTGAGTTTGTTGTGGTGGTGCTTCTTGTGCTTCTATGGTGTTTAATCAGCAGTCCTCAAGACTAAGCTCTTCCCATGTGTTCTGCCCTTGTTAAAATAATTTTCTTCCTATTTAATCATCAGGTTCCTTTAATTTAATTACTAGGTTCTGGGTTACCAGTTGCACTAAACAGAAGTACACAATACTTGCTGTTAAAAGCTTGGAAGAATTTAAACAATTATTTGGCAACTGAGGTAGCTATTCTTCCTGCATCATGTTACAATGCAATCCATTCTCTGTTTTTGCCAATTTAACTTGCTATTAAGACAAACCTCAAAGAATCTGACATAAAACTGAAGTGCAAAATACTCACAGAAGACACTCTCACAGGATTTTGTCTAATCATACAGGCTGTTTCTTTTTACACCAGGCCTCTAGATGTAAAAACTGGTAACTACTGTTACTACAAAATAGCTTAAGAGATCATAGAAGTAGATAAAAGAGATCAGTCAAGTTGGTAGCAAATCTTGGGAAGGCAAACCCAGTAAAATGAGGTACACAGCTTTTGTCTGTAGAAATTTGTAATAAAACTTCAGAGCGTTGGCTGTAAAAATCGAGTATACTGAAGTTTCAAGACATGATAATATAGAACTTTGAGCAAGTGGCTCAAAGAACAACTCTCAAAACTACATATAATATTCAAAAGATCAATGTAAAAAACTAAAAAAAAAACAAAACAAAAACAAAAAAAAAAAAAAAAAAAAAAAAACCCAAAACAAACTAAAAAACTACCTCATGCAAGTTACCAAGTATGTTAAAACTGTAAACTTTGTCTTTGAAATGCCCAGCAACTAGACTTCTGATTTCTTCTGAATCTCTTGTTGCACAGGGCAGGGAGCTGGGGGAAATGGCACCATTACGCAGAGATTCAAAAGCGTCACCGACAAGTTCGGGACCTGGCTGGCGTGCCAGCTGCGACACCCTTCGCGCAGAGGCCACCTGCACACGAGCGAACTGCACAAGGGACTGCGCGTCCTAAGCTGGTTGCCCTGGGCACCAGCGGAAAAAAAGCCTGTCCCAGCCAGAACACGGCAAGGGGGGCTGCGGTCCCGGAACCAGCGCGCTGCGGGAAACTCGCAAGAGTGGGACGGGGGCCGGCCCCCACCCGCCTTTCCTCGCCCCTACCACAGGCGGAGACCGCGCCCTCCCCAGGGCTCGCCGTCTCCGAGGGGAGGGAGAGCCCTGGGCTGGGAGCGGCCCGGCGGGGACAGACCCCGCGCCGAGAGCGATGCTGACGCTCACCCGCGCGGCGGGAGAGCCGCCGTTCCCTCGGGAGCGCTCCCGGAGGCGGCGGGCGCACACGGAATCTGCGGCCGCACACCGAATCTGCCGCCGCCAGAGCCGACGGGCACTTCCGCTTCCCGCGCGCCCCTCCCGCGCACGTCACTTCCAGCAACAACAGCAGACGTCAGAGCTGCCCGGGCCGGAGTCGGGGCGGCGGCGGCGGGCTCGGCCTCCCTGCCGAGGCTCCTTCCCTGGGCCTGTCCGCCCGTCCCCGCCGCCAGGCCCGCGCAGCCCCTCCCGCCCGGCGCGGCTCTCGCACGGAGGCGGGCCGGGCTCGTCGCGGCGGCGGTTGGAGCGGAGCTGGAACAGGTAGGGCCCGCGGGTGCCGCGACGCCGACGGACGGACGGGCGGTACGGCCAATCGGCCACCGGGGCTCCGGGGGGCGGCACCCGCCGGGCCGCGATCGCCGGTGCCCCGAGAGCGGGGCGGCCGTTCCCGGGCCGGGTCCCGGTGCCGCTCTGCGCGGGGAGGAGCGGCTCGGGGGGCGGCACGGCTGCCGAGCTTCTCGGGACCCGGTGCGGCCTTAGGCAGCTTCGGCCCTCGGCTCGCTGGGGCGGCTCCGGGCCTGCGGGACGGGATGTGCTTCCGCCCGCCGGCCTGGTTGCCCGAAGTCGGGATTGAAGGGCTTTCACGTTGCAGTGCAGCTGCTGTGAACGAAGCTTCGGCTTCAATAGCCTTGTTTCGAAGGAATCAACGTTTTCCTGTTGGGATAATCGTGACTGCAAAGTTGCAGCTGTAGGACTCAGTTACCATGAAGTGGAGAGTGTTTACATCTAGAGTGCATGTTGGTTTTTATTTAATGAAGTAGAATCTAGTACAAATGCAGCATTAATCTCGATTACTTTTAGCGTCCTATCACGCTTGTCAACACTGCAAAAGAATTTATTATGCAGTAGCAAAGTAACATGAGGAAGACACGATTAGAATTTAAATCAGGCTTTGATAGATAGCAGACAGAGCTAGAGAAGATCAGCGATTTATAAACAAGCTTCGTGTTATTTTTACTGTGGTAGTTAATACAGGCAAGCTATCAAGAGGTTTCAATTACGAGATAAAATTATGTTATTAGAAGTTTGAAAACGTGCCTTTGAGTGGCATACTGAATCTAAAAATTGAAAGTATATGTTCAAAATAACTTTAAAGTATAGTTTTTGACGCCATTACTTAAAAGGCTTTATAACAATGGGTTTGCTCATCTTTTATTATGATGGGCTCTGAGAGCATTCATCCTGGATTACTGCAAAGCTGAAAGTAATTACGTGATTGGGAAAATTATGTGTTCTAACAAATGGCATATAAGCTGCTGAATATACATATAGTAGAGCTTGTGGATTTTCAGCAGCTGGTTCTAGACCGGTTTAAATTCTGTATCATTTTGTTTCTTCTGTGAAATTAATTCAGTTTACCTTAAAATAGCAAATATATTTTTAATTTTTTTTTACATTACCAAAAGGCTTTTTATACTATTTATGCAATGATATCCTCTGTATGAGTATGTGAGTACCTTACTATCAAGGCTTTGTTATGCTACTTGGTAAGAAAGCTTGAAAAGATATTTATTCTCTTATTTCCGAGCACTCAAAATTCTTACTGCGTTATCACTGAAGTCATTGAACTTTGTTTCAGTGTCAGTCACTGTGCTACCCAATACATTTTTGTTTCTCCCTATGTTTTATAGTACTTCACTGACTCTAAATAAGGGTTTTTAATTAAATTTTGAAGAAAGTGTGAAGATTCTAAATGTTCTGAAGCCTAAGGTTTCTTAACTTGCATGGGATGTAGATAATATTTGGTACTCTTTGAAGAAGCTTATTGTTAATTTTGTATCTCTTCAAGCATGGGTACTTTTGAAAAAAATCTTCTAGCTTTTTTTAATGGGTTTTGTTCTCAGTATTTTTTCAGTTTCCTCATGAAGACTGGTTACCTGGTCAACATAACTTTGACAGAACTCACTTTCTACCTATTCAGATTAGTCCTGCAATTTTACTTATGTGCTGAGTCTGTCTTATAAATGTTTACAAATAGCTGTTAACATCTAATTTGCATTTTATGTCCAGCAGACTTGCAGATGGGTCAGGGACTTTGGAGAATTGCTAGAAACCAGCAATTGCAGCAGCAAGGATACAGTGGACAAGGTTATCTTACCAGAGAGCATGGTAGGAGGATACCTGCTAACAATGTTTCCAATACAAGCCATCGCAAGCAAGCCCAAGGAGGCATTGATATTTACCACCTGCTGAAGACAAGGAAATCTAAAGAACAAGAAGGATTCATTAACCTGGAAATGTTGCCACCAGAGCTTAGTTTTACCATTTTGTCATACCTGAATGCAACTGATCTCTGTCTAGCATCATGTGTCTGGCAGGATCTTGCTAATGATGAGCTTCTCTGGCAAGGGTAAGCACAAAAAAAGAAGTGTCACCTGGACATAGTAAAAAGTATTAGATTTTAAATTTGTCTCAGCAAGTGCTTTTTGTCTTTCTAACCTTAGCAAAGGTTTCCTAATTTAAATGAGATTGATATAAAGGAAACATATAGTTCAAAAATGTGTTATTCTGGATTTCTAATTAGTATGAGAGTACTACATACACAAGTGTGCTTGGCACAAGTATACAAGTGTATTATTATACACTTGGTGTTTGAGATAGCATGGGGTAAAAAGAGGGACTTGCCTTCATTTTATTAGCTCAAAGCACATTTCAGGTGTTTCTTTCATTACTCCTCTGAACTTCAAACACTTGTCTGGTTTAAACAAGCAAACTTATTCAGCCAAACTTCAGAATGAAGAGGAGTGAGAACTCATCTACTACACTTGTAGCAGCTTAGCTGTATATTCATTGGAAGATGGTCATGGAGGGAGGAAAGAAAAGATCGTTTTTTCTCAAGTAAAATTTCTTCAGCCTAACACTTGAAACAGATATAACATCTGCAGAACTTGTATGTTTGAGAAATAAATAAAGGAACATTCTTTCAGATAAAATAGTTTAATATCAAAATATAATTAACATATTCTTTGGTATTTTATATTTTACAGCACTAGGATACACTCTTGAAATCATACTTATCTTTAGTGTAGATGGTTACAAGCAGAACTTGCAACTCTTTTCATAACATTTTCTTCTCCCTTAACAGACAGTACTACTACTGTAGCAGTTAGGTTGTTGTTCAGGTTGTTTATTTTCCTTATATTATGCTCTACATCTCCTCCTCCCCTTATCTATATCCTTGTACTGCTGCGTTTGAATTAAGCAGCTTCCCTTCCTATCATTCTTTTGAACCTAGCAAAAGGTTAATGCAGGATAACTTCTTAGTCACAGTTGTCCTGCTATTGGGGACTGTTACACTGGCAGGAAACACGAATGCTGGTGAAGGATACCAGTAAGCTTCTAAGTTTATCAATATACATTGTGCTGTGCTCAGTTCTCGGTATTCAACCCAACCTAAATACAAATTCTAGACTTCCCTAGAAATTCAGAATTACCTAGACCAAATCTTGAAGATACTAGAGTTTCTTAATTGCATGCAGTATATATTCTTAACATGTGGGGTGGAAATATGTATTTTCCTTGAAGTTCATTCTGGGAAACAAGTCACTCATTTTTCGTGAAATCTTTCCAAATAATACATTTCATACCACATTTTTTGGTAATGAAAACATGTCCTGGTTTAGCAATAAATAAAAATCTTAATTTGCATAATCTCTGTAAAAATCTTTACTATTCCACATGTATAAGGGTGTGTTTAAGCTTTGGCAAGTACTGTCGTTGCAGTTCCAAACTCATTCCAAATAAGACCCAGGTTCCAGAACTGAAAGCAAAAATCTTTGCCATGTCTCCAATGACTGCCTGCTGGGTCCTAACATTGTTCCTAATTAGTTACAGGGCAAGTGTGGTTGAAGCAGAACTACCAGCTCCATAAGGAATCTAGATTGTGCAGAAAGGCAATAGCAGATGGTATCATACAAGAAACTGAGATGAGGGACAGAAACTGATGAAACTGAGATGTGGAGTCAGGGTGGAATAAAAGGGAAAGAAGCTGAAAAGTTACTGAAGATAGAGAAGGATGGGGCTGGATCTAGTCATTAGGACTGGCCAATTAGGACAAAAGGAAGAAGAGCTGGGTGAAGGAGGACAGATGGAGAAAGTGCTGAATTAATGGCATAATTTTATGCAGATATGGTGTCCAATTCACTGCACAACTGGGGCACAAGAAAAGAAACAAAATGCTTTAATCTGTCATAGTACTGCAGGAGAACAACTTGTCACTGTTCTCCTGTGGTCAGGTTCTAGGAGTGCCAGAGGTCTCTGCTCTGTGATTGTCATGATGCCATCTACTGGGTTATATTTTGAAGTTGCACTCAAGTACACCAAAACTTCTTAATCATATAATTGAAGATTGCAGAAAAACATGCAAAAGACTTAATAACTGTTACAGCAACCTACTTCTAACTTTTCCTATGGTTTGAGTATTTAACTTTGCAGTGTTGATTACATTTTGCTTCTGTAAAATCCATGAAATTCAGAAAGGAATTTTTATAATAGATTAATTCTATTTTCATAGGTTGTGCAAATCCACTTGGGGTCACTGTTCTATATACAATAAGAATCCACCTCTAGGATTTTCTTTTAGAAAATTGTATATGCAGCTAGATGAGGGCAGTCTCACCTTTAATGCCAACCCTGATGAGGTAAGTGAACTATTGCTGACAGTAATAAGCAGTTACAATAATTGCGATTGTTTTTATATGGCTATAATTATAAAAAACCAAAGTTTTACTAGGTGATTTTTTTACTGTAGGGATGGTTAATACTGGGCTACAGCTGTATTCTGGTCTTTTTTTGAATATTGTACCTGTGTACACCATTTACGTGACTTACCTGTTAAGTGCTCTGTACACTTCTGTGGATGCCAGAAATTCATAAACACGTATTAACTTAGGAACAAGGCAGATATCCTAACTGAAAAGACAGTGGTGAATTGTCAGAGCATAGCAATGAGCTTACATAAATAAGCACGTTAAAATGCAGAGTATGAGTTTAGTTCCACTTTAGGCAAAGCAGGATGAGATATAAAGTCTGGTTACTTCTATGACAATCACATTTTCTTGTAGGGGATTTTTACCTATTTCCACTATCAAGGAGCAAATCTTGAAATACGAAAAAGATCTACTGCTGTACTATCCTGAAGATCAGATTTATTTAATTTCTGTGGGTGTTGTGCATAATCTTTCCTTATAGAACAACATAAATTTATCTTAAAAAAAATATCACTTGTCAAACTGAAAGGTTTCCATTTATAAGTTCATGTAACTAACTGAAAAAGTCAGTTTCTGCTTTCAGTCGGTCACCTTTCAAAAAGGAAAACAATTTGAGTAGACAGCTCTTGCCTGGGAGATAGACAGTTAATGCCCAAGTGACAGTCTTTTGTGTATAAAACGAGACTCCTGCTTCATGTTTCCTAGGAAAAGAGTGTACACAGTACTGAGCAAAAATGCTGTTAACTTCCTGCATGTAGTTACACATACACATGGAAGTGGTAATTGAATAAATCCTAAGTAGAAAAAGGAATGAGATATGAAAAGAAACACTTCTAGAAGCAAATGTAACTCAGCTAATATGATATAGAAAGTTTGAACTTGTGACCATGGGGTAAAATAAATAAAGCAGTTCTATGAATCATTGCAATAATGTGATTTCATATAAGTTCTTGCTTTATCTCATATTCTGTTTGATTAAGAGACCATTACTTTTATCAGTCACAAATAGAGTATTTTGTAATTTCTCTGGTAGAACTCTGCCTTGAACTCTGATACACAGCATCGAGACATCAGCACCTGGCCACTTGAGTGATTAGTATTGTTTTTCTGGAGAATTTTCACAAATATAGTAATAAATGTAAAAGTTTTCAAACTAGATGCAATATTTAGGTAACTTACATGTTTTCAGTAATATATCAAGTATATTGCTAGCAGCATTGTCCGTCTAAATTTTTCTTTGTATTTCAATTTTTTTTAACATAATTTTTCACTTAACTATCTCAGTTTATAATGTGCACTTATGTTTCAATCTTATTTTAAGTAATCTTGGTATGTTTAAAGCGTTTGGAGCCTTCAGAACAGGCAATTAATAGAAGATTCATTATTTTTTTAAAGGAAATAAGGATCTGCAAATTAGAGCTAACTTACGGCATACCTAAGTTAGATATTAACTTTATTAAGTGACTCTTGCTTCTTCATTATGGTTATATTTTACAATAGAAGTACAAACACTCTGCTTCAATGAGAGATGAGAACCTCAGGGTATCTCCTAAGGGCTCTGTTCCTCTCTCCCTGTGGAGCACCATAGCCTGGTAGGAATCATTCAGGGCCTGAGTTTCAGGAGAATTCACAAATACTATTGCTTTTACTGTTTACAACTGTGATATTGGCAGAATCATTATTATTATTATAAGGACACTGTGACTGGAACATATGATATGACATTCCACTATTAAAAATTGTGTCTCCGAATTTCCTGCCAAAGTTTGCTTTACATTTGATAACAGACTTGATCAAATTACTATAAAAATAAGAATACTTACAGCCACAGGAGCAAGATTCTCCAAAGGACACCGCCCATGTCATGAAAATGGGTAACCAGGCTCCACAGCAACAGCTCCAGAGCTAGCGGTGGCTCACGGGGTAGGGAAGAGCATCTACACACTTTGTGGTAGGATTCTCTGGTTAGCCATTGTTGTGTGCATGGTGTTGTGATATCTGCTGTAATTTAACGTGTTGATTGTGTGCATGAGCTTGCATAATTCATAGCAGGTGCTCACATTCTGCTGAATGGATGTGCCTAAACACATAACATTTAATCTGAAAAAAAAAAAAATCCCCAGTGCATGTTTGGGTTGGGTTTTTTGGGGTTTTGTTTGTTTGTTTGTTTTTGGGTTTGTTTTTTGGGGTTTTGGTTTTTTGTTGTTTTTTTTTTCATATGGCACCACCATTGTAGCCAAGATTTTGGAAACTGGTTTTTGTTATTTCTTTGGAAAGAGGTTTAGTGTTAGTATTAGCACTCGAATATAAATATGATGTTGTTTAATCTGCCTGCCTGGTTTCTGCCATATTTTATTTTAAAGGGTGTATGGTGTATGTGAAGTGTTTCTCATGCAGTGCTCATTTCATCTTGCTTATGACTCAGAATTTGTCAGCAACCAGAAGTTACTTCCCATTGTTTTGTATCCAGTTTCTAACTCCCTACAAAATATTTTGTCAAGTTTATTACATGGATCAATGCTATTTAGCTAAAATTGAAACTGAAAGTACAAACAAGAATCTTTTGGTCAGGAAAGATTATCTGGTTTTTTTTGTTTCATCCTTAATGATTCTAACTGATCTATTTAATAGCATTTATTTTTATGGACCTTCTGGAATCTGTACTGTGCCAAAACTCTGTCTTCAGTGAGGTCAGGATTTCCTTTATGTAGCGTAATAATAAAGTACATTAAGACAGTACTTATACTAAGCCTGTCTTTCCACTCTTCTGATTGTCTCATTCTGCAAGCTGCCCTTAGTTTTTGACAGGGAGGCCAGATTTTTCTGACCTTTTCCTGGTTATAAATTGTTAGCCACTTGTATAAAGCTACATTACCTGACTTTTTAATTATAGATAGTCTGTAGATGATGGAATGTTTACTGTATTTCTAAGCAAAGTTTTTTGACACTTACCCTATTTCATAGTGATCTACTAAGCAAGCCAGTTTTGAGATGCATTGATTTTTTGGTTTGAAGAATATTATGTGTATGTTGTAAAGAAACTCTTATGTGATTTATCAAAATAGCTGGAAAGGAACACTGAGCTGAAACCTCTTGATAATTCTGAATTAAAATTAGAATTGTTTAATCTTGTAAATTATTAGTTATGGATTCTGTGTAACATGAAAAATATTTCCGCGCTCTCTTTGCAATTTCTGCCATCATAAGTTTGTATTGCTGAGACTGTACTTTAAAGACAATGATACACTGCTTGAAATGTATGTTACATACTGTGTCCACGTTTGTCACCAAATGACTTGATTCGTAACTTAGTAAAACAATCATAAAAATTTGCATTACACAAGATCTCATCAGTACTCTGCATTGTTCCGGAAGATGCACCATTAGATATACTGTGTACTTCCTAAGAAAAATGGAAACAATAATATCTGTCTACTTATTATTTACTAAGAATGTTAGTGGTACCTAGAATCACCAGCAGAAATTGAGACTCTACTATACTAGATACTGATTCTAAAATTTCTGTGCCATTAGTTTAGTGTATGTCTGTTTTGTTTTGTACCCATATCTAAACAAAGATGTCAAAGGTCACTGCTAGTTTTGACGCTGACTGCTGTACTGAAGTGGTCTCTTAGCAAAGAAGATAGTCAATGCAGAAATAGAATCAATGCTGAAAAGGAGAAGTTTTCCGTTTTAGAGATCCTGTATGGATGTAAACAAACCCAAAGACTATTGGAGACAGGTAGAAAACAAGCAAGGAGTGCCAGTGCTGTAATAGAATAGACTAGCAAAACAAGCATTGCGTGCCAGGAAAAAAAACAACTGTAAAAAATAACATACTGAAATGCAACAAATGGCTTTTATTGTTACTATTAGTCTATATTTAAAATTGTTGTTTGCATGTATAATTTATTCAGCACTTCCATACATTAATATTTTATCCAGAGCTGTCTGAAATTCAGAGATAACATGCTGTCCACAGAGGCAGGGTTTAAGGCATCTTTCTAATTCTCCAGTGCTAAGAACATTATAGTGCTCTGAACCAGAATTTTAAAACTACTGTATGTGCTCGTTCAGCAATGTTTCCCAAGTGTTAAAAAGGCCTCGTCAGAGCTGGTGGATCATGGCACAGAGCAGCTTACCTGACTGCAGTCAATTGTTTCCTAAGAGAATCACCAGCTGACTGATAAATAATCTTAGCTTAGGTTTTAATAGTGTGTAGGGCTACTTATTTCAGCTAGTATATATGCCACAAGTGGCCATTTTAGCTACCAAAAGTGATTTATTTAAAGCAAGGGTTCTGAGAGGTTTTCAAGGTAGTATTTATAGTGTTATGAAAAACAGATTCAGTGACGTGCTGTAAATCTTGTAAATAAATTTCATTTGCTGTGAGACAAAATTTAAGAACTTAAAAGAGAACTCAGGCTTCTACTGTTGCACAGTATTTTTGATAGCTTAGGGTGAGATAAAAAGCAACTAAAAACAATGGCATGTGGTGAAGTATCCTTTATTTATACCCTGTTTACTAGTGAAGGAGTTGAGGAAAATGCATTCACAGGCAAAGATATTGTCAAGCATTATGTGTGGTGGGGGAAAAAGGAATTAGAGGATAATAATGCGAAGACTTTGTAGCTTATCAGATGGAGATCCTACGTTGAGTTGCAAGCTAGGGCATGAGAAAGAAACTGCAGCATTTACTGTCACAGAGAAACAAACCCACTGTCTATCTTAAAAAAGGTATTGTTTTCCTCCTGCCTCCTCTATGTCATGCTAGGAATTTTCTGGATATGTTGTAGAAGTGTTTGTTAATTGCAGCAAAAAAGCTACTCAAGACTTCCTCACCAGGCTTCAGTTTGTATTACCTTGAGCTAATACTTCTTACTGGAGCAAACATAAATCTCATTAACTTGGGATATATGTAAAGGAGATATTCTGCTGCTTATCTTACATAAATTGCCAAAAGCCTTGTTGTTATCTCCCATTTTTAATTTCTTATTTAGCTCTGGTTCAAGAAAGTACTTAGCATTATGTTGTCCATCCATATTATAGACAAATATGATCTAATTTGGACTAAAATGCAAGCTGATAGAGCAATACATGTTTCATTGCATCCTAAATACAGATTTTTCTTAAAATTGGGGTGTAACACTGCTAGGTTTTTTGTTTTACCTATCTGAAAACCTTTATATTTTAATTTATTTTTATAAATCATTATTTTAACAAAACAAATGTATCTTGATTAACTGCTATGTTCTATAAATAAATAAGCAAAACTATGGGCTGGTAAAATTAGCTAGTTAATACTACATGTGTTTCTTGGCTTTCAGCTTGTGCTCTTACATTCTAACTATTTTCCTGCTTGATGCAACTAAGACTTTGTTTTGCTAAGCCGCTTTACAAAATGTTCCAAACCTGCACTCAGTTCTTAATTTCTTTTTCACACAGAATTCAAGAGCACTGGGAAGTTTAGTTTATACACTGAATGACAGGTTGCCCCTACATCTTCTTAGCTGTAATGTAAACACAAAGGGTAGACTTACAAAATATTGTGAAGTTTGATATCAGAAGATTTATGAAAATATATTTCAGGAGTATTTTAAAGGTGGTTTAGGTTGTGGCCTTGGTACATTATTCTATGCAGAAATGCACTGTCCTACTCATTTTACATTTCAACCTTATGCTATAGTCAAGATCTATTGTACTTAACTATTGCAACACTTTGCAACAAATGCTGAGAACTGCTCCCAGCCCCTGCCAAATTGAATCAGAAGAACTTGCTTAGTTATTCTCAGGTTTAGATTTTTGCTAAACTTAGTTGAAAATTGTGAACATTTTTAAAATCCATTAGTTGGGTTTTGGTTTCTGAGATTGTAAGGAAAATACTTTTATGCTTTGGGATTTTTCAATGACCAGAGAGAATCCAGAATATCACTGAAATACTTTAAATTTGTCATGTTTATTCTATAAAAAATGTGTGCTTGGTCAAAGTGTAAAGTTCTAGAAATCATAATATGAGTATAAACTATATGCAATTCTGTATTTTTAAACTATTTTTTTGTAAGGCTTAGTGTTCTTTTTTATGTGTATGCATATTTATATATGTTGATACTTACCTATGCTTTGAAATCAGCGTGCTTGTGTTTATTTGCATTATTACACATTTAAACAAATGCATTTAATGCATCTATTTGAATGTGATACATTGTATACATGTGAGAACATTACTGTTTTAGTGAAAGATATTGAAGACTAAACACATTATGGCTAAGATTTTCTTATTTGCAAAAGTTATGAAATTACCAGTCATGGTCCTTGCAACATTTTAAATACTATTACAAAACTATAAAAAGCAAAATACTGATATACACTGTAAAGAAATTATTAAAGAACTGCCATGCTCATTATGAGGTTTATAATTTAAAATTTTCTACTATGACTGTATGAAAAAATCTCAACCATAACACTAAATTGTTTCTTTGCATTTGATTTATAATTTTAGAGTGTATTCTGCATGTTGAAATGTGATTTAGAGGAGAAGGAATCATTCTGAAAAACAAACCAGTTAATTTGTAGGATTACATTCCTACATTGTAAAGTCCAATACTTCTTCCTAAATAAATTATGAAGATTAAACATATTTATACATATGTGTATTTTACCTCAGGGAGTCAACTACTTTATGTCCAAAGGCATACTAGATGATTCACCAAAAGAAATAGCTAAGTTTATCTTTTGCACAAGAACACTGAATTGGAAGAAGCTGAGAATCTACCTTGATGAAAGGTAATTAAAATTTCTCTTAATTTTCTATTAATTTTCAGTGTACAGCCTCATTTAACAATATTTTGAATGTAGAGATGCCACTTCAAGGATGGAAAAAGGCAAGAAAATGCAGCTGGGTAATGAATGGTTCTGCTGAATCTGAACAGTTACTCAGTTTGACTATTTATGTGACTGTAGCACTTGATAAGAATCCTCAAAAATACCACCTATAAATAATAAATCTCACATCCTCACAAAATCTTACCTAGATACCTTGCTGCTTTTTCTTGACTTGATGGGTTTTTTTTCCCATTCTTATGGATGTTATTCAGAAAAAGTAGTTACCACTTTACTAAGAGATGATAGCTTCTTAACTGATGTTGAATCATCTAACCATTACTTGTTTGTCTGATATTTCTTGATTGGAAGTTGCACACAACTCCTGAGAAAAAAGAGACCATCCTCTTGGAGACATGAGGAGCTGCAGAAGGGAGCACTCTCCCTGCTGTGGCATGCTCTTTTGTCTCCACAGTGCTTGCTCTTGCTGTCAGGTTGGGGTAGGGCAGTATCATCAAGGAGAATAGTAACTGCACCTGAATGGGAAGAACAGAGGGACAACTGCACTTCTAGCAGGAATCCTCTCCTGCTTCTCATCCTCTTCAGCCCATGCTACTAAAGGAATAAAAGGAGTCTGTAGTGTTATCACCACTGGCAGTCCTGTGCTGTAAAACTTCAGATTTATCGATTTTTTTGACAATAATGAAAATACAAAACCATTTAGTGGATGACATTGCAAGTTAATGTTAGCGACTCCTACTGCCATTTATCCTCCCTTCATAAAGAGTATATTCAGATAGTAAAAATAAAAACTAGTTTTCTAAAAGTCGAAACTCACAAGGTAAACATGAGGTTAAACATAGGAAAATGTTCTTAGGTTCACTTCAAATTTGCTTCCAAATTTTTTTCAACTGTCTTTTGCACAACTGGTAATGTAGGTGTGGCCTGAATCTTTTATATGTGTCTGTGTTCAGTGCAAAACACTTGAGAACATCACACCCTGATGGACTTCCATGAGCAAATTTTGCCTAGCTGAAGCCAGGTTTTAACAAGACACTCCTTTAACAGTTTCTACTTAGACATCAAAACGTGTGACACACATGAATCTATTCCTTTTACTGTCTTTTTTAATGATTTTGTAACAGTTTAAAGGAAGCAAAGCCTCTATATAGACCTTGATTGAATATAAATATAAACTTTGAGTTCTGATTCATGTATGTTTTTATAGTATTTGGTGACAAATAGGCAAAGAACATGTGTTTATGTTATCTTTGTGCTGTTAGTGATAATTTTGCTTTTAGCAAAAGCAAGAGCTCATGCTATTCTAAAGCTTTAATTTTTATTTTTAAAATATGCACATTTTCATATTTAAACAGTTAAAAGAAACTTTTCTAATAATGTGGGTTTTTATTCTGCCAGGAGAGATGTTTTGGATGACCTTGTGACGCTGCACAACTTCAGAAATCAGTTCTTGCCAAATGCACTGAGAGAGTTCTTCAGACACATTCATGCTCCTGAGGAGCGTGGGGAGTACCTTGAAACTCTCATAACAAAGTTCTCTCACAGATTCTGTGCTTGTAATCCTGATTTGATGAGAGAGCTTGGCCTTAGCCCTGGTAAGCAAAAATGAGCAGTGGATCAGTGTTCATACTTACGGATGATGCTACTGTTTCCAATAGCTTTAAAATCAGCACCTAAATAAGTATTTCTGAAAGTACAAAATGGTTCAGTATAGAGTCTTCATTCCACTTGGGTTGGAAAAAAAAGAAACAAAACCCAAATGTACAGATTCTTTTTTAGCTGATTAGTTGGGTTTATTTCCATGTTACCTTTCCTTCATTTTTGTCTGTACTTTGAGCTTTGTTCTTTTCTGAAGTTTGCCTTGCAGAGTCTTACACAGTTAACATTTTGCCTTGTGGATAGTCTCACAGAAATGAAAGGGAATATTGGGCCGCATTCAAATTAGCAAGCATTTCTAAATGGTTGAGGGAGGCAGTTTTCAGCACTGGAACTGCTTACATATTTAAAAGATAAGATGTTGGCTTTAGTTTACACAAACTTCAAGAATCTGTTAAATGAAAATGTATAAAGCCCTTAGTGGCTTTTGGATTGTGTAGGAATATTAAGAGATTTGTAAATTCTCATTTGGCACTGTGCTGACATTATTACTTTGAAAGTTGCTATATTAAATTTTATTTCACTGGGATACTCTTCTGAGTAGTTGTATGTATATATATAAAATTATGAATTTATATATATACATACATATAGATGTTAAGATGATAAAGACCATAAGGTTCTTAGACAGGGAAAAATACTTTTAATGATGACAGTTTCTTTTTTATTTATTCTCTCTTGTCTAGATGCAGTGTATGTACTGTGTTACTCTTTGATTCTGCTTTCGATTGATCTAACAAGCCCTCACGTGAAGAACAAAATGTCAAAGAGGGAATTCATCCGAAATACGCGACGAGCTGCACAGAACATTAGTGAAGATTTTGTAGGGCACCTTTATGACAACATCTACCTTATTGGCCACGTGGCTGCCTAAAAGCACAATTTGCTAGCACTTAAAATTTGTAATTTTCAAAAACTACATCAATTCAAGATATTAATTATTTTGTAGAGATGGGGGTTATTTTAGTGCTGGTCATTCTAACCTCTGTATGCAATCAAAGTTTGTGTGTGTAAGTGTGTGTATGTGTAAACTACCTTTTCTATCTATTTACTGTGGGAACAGAAGGATTTTTTTTCATTTTTTTTTTTAGTTTTGCACAAAACAATGCCATTAGTCTGACAGCCATTTATGAATGTTAAACTGACATTACAGTCTAAGCTGAAAAAGTGGTGAATTTGTGCATTAGATCTGCTTGAAACTTTAATAAGTTCATTCTTTTTAGAATACCATGTAATGTGTATATATTTAACTAAAGAGATTTATAATCATAATTATTTTATTGTAAAGTATTTTAACTAAAATTTCTCCTTTTATCTCTTAAATTAGTGTTTGACTTTCGTTTGCATTTTTTTACAATGTTGACTACCTCAGATACTTAAGTTAGAGGAACATTGGTCTGAATACTACAATAAAGTTTATTCTAGGATATGATAGAACACTTGTAAAATATCTAAGCCGGTATTTTATACTATATTTATTAACTTGAATTAGCATGTTGCCAATCTGCTATTCACTCAATTTTAAATATTACAGGCTCTATTTTAGATGAACTCTGATGCCATACAGGGGTAGCCAGGGGAATCATGCAGTGTACAGAGAAGTTTATGTTATTTACATATATAACCTAATTTGCAGATACTGGTTTTTGGGAAACAGGGCAACTACAATCATCTGTTCAGTGCAGTAAGCAAGAAAAACATCTGAACAGGGAAAGTGGTAGGAGTGAGTAAAGTGTTGCTGCTTTCAACTGGTTCCCTCAGTCTAGAAGTGTCAATGATGGAAATGCCTTGGCAAATGTATACCAGATGACTCGTTGCTAAAGCTGTTAAAAACTGACACTGCAAGATTAGAGCAGTGACTGTGCAGGATTGGAGAGCTTTTCAGAGTTAGATACTGAATTACGTTCTAAGTCAGTCATGTAGCGAGATTTTAAACAGCGCTAAATTTATGGAAATACTTCAAAAATTACTTGTTTAGGTTGTGTCTTGACGTTTTCTGAAGTGTGGAGAATATTAGCAGTGGAACTGCTGTGCATGTGCAGGAATTGAATAAGGATTTGTCTAGTTTTTGTTCAGACAAAAACTCACAGAGCAGTGCTTTTCTTAAGTTGACATAACATGTAGTTGAAGTAAGAGCTGTTCCTGATTGTTTGTTTACATAATATTCAGCTATCAGTAGCATCTAGATACATCATGGTAACAAGTATATTTATTATTTTTCCCTGCCACACCATGAGGTGAGGTTGGAAGGTATTCATAATCTGTAAAACAGAACTAATCTGAGTTTTTATGTAGAAAGCCTATTGCAGAGCCAAGAATTTAATTCAGGAATGACCCCTCACAGCCGTGCACTTTGCCTATGCTGCTACTTTCTGTTTGGCTCCTAGGGAGTGTTACGTTTGTTTTAGATGTGAGAAGGACAGTCCATACAAGGGCAACATAAATCATGGGAAGATAAAGATGTAGCTATTACTTCTATTTCAAGTGTTCATAACTCTGCTCCACAAACCAAAATGCATGCAGAAAAGGTACTTTTTTATTACATTACCTTTAATCACGTGTAAATACCATTGCATTTATGTAGCATACACAGCCAAAGCCAGGAGCCAACAGTATTGCAGCCAGGTTTACAGTATCACCTGCCTTGCTCAGGATAACTACTCTTCACCCAGTGTTGTTTCATGTATTGCAGAAAGTCCAAGGATGCGTTCTGCAGTGGTCAATTAATCTCAAACACAAATTAAGAGTTTATGGTACAGTGGGGAGCTTTCTTTAAGGCACATGTATTTGCTCCTGTATTACAGACAAAAAAAAAATGGAAAACTTCTAGCATAATTTGTAAAACTAACAATAAAGGAACAAGTGTCTCTGGGCTCTTTTAAGGGGTCTGAAGTGGAGATATAGAATATAGTTTTCTAAGAAACACTCCTCAAAGGTTACACACTTTAAAAGAAGAATTCAGTGAATTTTGAAATTAGAACTCTTCTTGTTAGAAAATATTTTCTCAAACCACAAATGCAGAGCAAGGCTTAATTTTTTTCTGACTTTTGCATAGGTTGACATTAGTGATACTGGTGTTGATTTTGCACTAGTAAGAGAGTATGAATTGTCAGTCTGCATTTCTCTTAATTTCCAGTTACCCTGATACAGAACAAAGCCTTCAGGCAGCCAGAACATGTTTTTTCTGGATTAGACGAGTACATCTATTAGCAAGATTTAGAAAACTTGGGCCAGTGTAGCAGCCAAGAAGATAAATTAGAACCAGGATGATACAATTCAAGTTTCCATAAGACAAGGCCAGGGGAAAAGAAACCAAAACCTTAATGACAAGCAGATAGATAATAGCATCTGATCTTCACAACAGGATTTTGAACAGAGGATGAGTACCCAACTCATGCTGTACATTATGTTACTAACACAGAGTGGAACAGAAAACAGCAAACACAGCATGCAAAGTGTGAATTCCTTCAGAGGCAAAACATGAAACAACTAATTAATACAGACATTGCTTCTGTCCTTTTTCCAGTTTGAGTTTAGCTCTAAAGTGGCTGAGAGGTAATTTTTTGCATTTCAGCAATCTAGACTTTACATGAAGTTAAAAAATTTTCTGTCTTAGAAAAAAGTCTTAATCAGGTGTAATAGTACTTATAAAAAATGACAAAAATTGTCTTGGTTGTCCTCCAAAACTCTTTACAAAACAAAGTTTTGGGCGGTGTTTTCTTCAATGCACTTGGTGTCTCCACGCACATTTTAAAATGATGATGCTTCATTGATCCAGGTGTCACTAAATGATGTGGAAATAGCTACTTGATCAAGCACTTCAGAAGACTTAGGTAGAGGATCTCAAGCTGAATTACATGAGCATTACCATACTTATAACTGCAAAGCGATTCCCAAGCTATTGTGATTCTACCACTGCATGTCCTTTGAACTTTGGCCGTGTGGTGTTGCCTTAACTCTTAACTGTATGCACTGTACACAGCACTGAAGGAAGAAGTGAGCCTGCAGCCCATCCCCCTGCAAACACTCACTGTTCTGTTCTAAAAGACACTGGAATTGTTCTGAATGGCCATTTCTGAAAGTTTGGTAACTTCAGTATACAGTGATGATGACAAGAAAACTTTTTGTTCGTGTCAGGAAAATTAGTGTACCTGTGTCCATGTAAAGTGTCACACAAATGCAGCTCATGTTTGCTTTTATTCAAGTCTGAGGCTCTGATTGCATTTATTGAAGAAATAGGGCATATATTGGATATTCACATGGCTCAGCTATAGACAGCATCTGATATTACTTGTTTTGTCAAATTATTTCTATCTAGAATACTTTCCATTCAAACTCTAAATAACATATTTATAAGGTTTTGACTTTTTAAAATAAATCAAAGCTGCTGCAACATACAGAAGCCCAAACAAATACAAGTTTGAGATACGTTTGTTGATTTTGAAGCAAGTGAGAAATTTGCATTCAGGAAAAAAAATCCAATTTTTCTCTTTAACCTTTCCCTTCCACCCCCCACATTGGAAAAAGAAAAAAATGTAAAGTTTCAAAATACAGCTTTAAGAAAATAAAATTACTAGCTGGACAAATAAATGTTTCTATTTCTTCTGTATTCTGCAGTTTTTTAATGTTCTTGACATAAACAAGTTTAACAACAGTAATTGCTCTTTTTTGAAGTGGTAATATTTTTGTTCTTTTTGTAAGGATATCATTGTGCAATCTGATATTGTTGATAGCTCTATTTTTAGAAAACAAGTATTATTTTAAGCGCTTAAACAAAATTGAGGTATACCTACTTGATCATGTTAAACTGTCAAAATTATAATAAGTATTTGGGAAAGTCAGATGTACTTGCCCTCTATTGAATTAGGAATTTTTTTCCTTTTCAAATATTTCATGGACATACTAAAACTAATAAATGTTAAGGCTGATGACTTTTTCTCTGCCACTGTAAAATCTCCCACTCTAAGCTCAAAAGCTCCATTAAAATGGGCAACAAACAGATATAAAGTATTTCCTGTGTCTCACATTGGCACATTATGGTTTCATTTTGCCTTAAAGAGAAATACAAACTTTTATAATCTGCATGTAATAGTGATTTTAGTAAGAAAAAATTTTATGTGATAATCTAAAATTATTTATGAGATGTTTAAAGTTCAGACTTGCCATGTATAATTAAATCATAGTCAAATGGCTAGAAGTAGTTACAGAAGCGTCTGTAGAAAACCTAAAAGAGATCACATTGCTTCTTCGTCACCTCGGTGTTTTTGGTGATAATGTTAGTAAATTTGCAGTTTTCCTTTCTTATTTATATAAATATGCTTAGAGAAAATATTTAAATGGAATACTTCCACTTCCTATGTGAAATTTACTTGCATTAAAAACAAACTTTCTGCACTTAAAATATTAGAAAAGCAAAAGATCTTCAATTCATTGAAAGAAAAAAAGAGGCTGCTAATTTTAAGTTGTGTGGTTCACTCATAGACCCTAGTAGAGAAAACAAACAAAAAGCACTTTTCAGATTCCTAGCAATCAAAACAATGCATTTTTTAAGCTTATAAACAGTGTAAGTGTACCTAACAGAAATCAAACACGTTTTTGTGAAAGCAATACAGTCAGGATACCAGTTATTTTCAGAGAGAGTATTCATTTGTAAAAGTTAGCTTTCTTCTTGGCAGTGTTGGAGTGGAATGTTGGATTTAATTTAAAATGATTAATGGGATTTTGTCAGACTCCCTGCCTTTACCACCACTGCAGTTTGTCAGCACAACAACCTGGGAAACTCGGACGCCACTCTGTCGCCCAAAACTGCTTTCCAGGAAAAAATAAACCCGAGTAACTAGTGCCAGGTACATGTCGATGGTATTGTCTTTCAGCTGTTGAAAGTTTAACTCTGAGCTGGGACATTTACACATTCTGAGGAAGTGAACCTCATTTGTTATTTCAGTACTATGTTTTTGACAGTGGATACCAGTGTAAACTTTAATTTTTAGAGCAAGGATAGCCATTTTTTTAACCTTATGGAAAATCCTATAATCCATGCAGAACAGAAATACTCTAAAAGGGAAAAAAATATGTACCAAAGCTCATTTGGCTAAGTATTTCTGGAGAAAGACCATCTATTCAATCTGTATACTGCAGTCTGTTAGGAGGAACTCATCCTTTGAGCACTATGCATGCCAGTAGCTTGCTGAGTGGCAAAGAATGTTTTGTTGCACTTGAGGCAGATGCATCAATGTATATCCCAAGAGCCAAAATCTGACAAGTTTGCTATACTTCTCATATATGACCATAACATAAGCAAATGAGTAATTCTTGTGAAATGTAAGGTTGATATTGAAAATTATTTACGATTTTTCTTCTTTGCTTTCCTTATGGAAGTTTATCCTGTTGGTCTACAGTTTGAGCATTGTATTTTCTCACACATGAAATACTCAAAAAGATAATTTCAGTTTCAAAAACAGTCTTCCCCTTCTGAGAAAACATGTCTGCCTGTGCTATTCAAGTCCTCCCGCAGCCACATAATGCTGTATCAAAAAAACTGACCTTGCATTAACTCCTATAGACCCCTTTATACACCAGTTATATCCATTAACTCGGCAGGCAAAAACATCCTGCAGGCTTCGCAGAGATTTAGGTGATGAAAAAAGTTTGTACTGCTCTGCTGCACCAGGCAGAACATACTGTTTTACGGGGCATGATGGCACATGTATTCTTTGAATTACTTTTTTCTTAGGTATTTTATATGTGTTAAAAAAAGTATTTTCACAACTGCAGTTTCCCTGTCTTCATATCCAGAATTCAGGCTAATTTTCATAATTACATGTAACACAACTGAACTGAAGTATATTTTTATAACTGGAGAACTTCTTGAGTTTACTTGCCTTTTGCAGCGTTAATCACCTGCATGACAAAACAAACGAGGAAATCACAGAACTTCTTTACAAGTGCTAAAGGAGTGCATCTCTCAGCGTGCTTCTTAGTAACAATCAAGATGCTGTATTTTTTCACGTTAAATGTAACTTCTTGTTTCTATATTCCACTTAGCAATTTATATCAATAAAGGTATTTATTACTGTTCCACACTGTCTGAAGTCTGACAGTACAATTTCTGATTTGTACTAGCAAAAGCTGACTTTTTTGGGTTTTTTCCCATGGAATAGTAGAAAAAATTAACACAAGTACTCAACATTCATCTATCACTGCAAAAATGCAATAAGAAATGCTTGAATCTTTTTTGCCTATAAATAAGGTTTAGATATGCAAATAAAATACAGAAGTCACATGATTAGTAATCAGCTTTTGTTAAAGTCTTTTTCTACTTTTTAAAATTAAAATATGATTTCCCTTTCTTTGTGTTAAGTCTTCACAATGTGCATGCATAGTGCTGTATAATGTATACTAAAAGTAACAGCACTTAAAAGGGCTGATTTGAAGGTCTAAATGGAACATAGACATTCTGCCTTCCTATGTAAGATAGATTTTATTTAAAATTATAAAGACTCTGAAATGTATCAAAAATTATTTTAAATTAGTGATACTTAATAATATTAAGTTAAATTATAATTCATAAATCGATATTTATAGCCTGAGTCTAAAGACTCAGATTAGTAAAACAGAAAAAAGCAAAGGAAATTTTCTGTGATAAGATTTCATTAAAGCTAAAATTTTGTTGGTTTTAGTGCAGACCAAGACAGAATTTTTGAAGAGGTGAGATTGGTGGTCTCTATAAGAGAATACCTGGTCCCAGACAATCTCATCCTCCCTCTTCTCTGCAGTAACATAAAAAGCTTTTCTGCCCTGCCAACACATCTATGCCTCTCCACATCTGACCACAGGGAAGCAGAGCAGTCTTTCTTTGCAAACTACACCTCTTCCCCTCAAATTAGTAAATAGTGTGTAATCTTGTTATTTTCAAAGTATCAGTTGTTCTCTGTAGTTTCTTCACAATGGTTAAATAACAGAAACGAGAAATTAGCAGTTAAGATGTACTCTTAGTGAGTATCAATATTGTTTAAGTACAGAGAGCTCTGTTATACAAAAGCAACAGAAAAAGAAACCCATGTTGCAAAATGTAGTTTTATGTCAATAACTTCAGTCCATTCCAAAATCATCTGCCAATTAATTTCATGAATGCTAATTAATGATCTTTAGTCTGTTTTAGAAGTTGTTCAGCACAAATTTGAACTAAGAAGAATTTTATACAGAATATGAGATAATACTTGGAGAAGCTTATCTGCGTTTTCCTTGCCACACACCTAACAAGTTATACCCTAGTGAGGTTGTTGCCCTACCTCTGTCAAAAGCAAATTGGTAACTCAGGGGAGGAGATTCAGGATGTCATTGTATTGGAAGTGGAAGAAATAAAGGCTTAGAAATATCTTTAATGACTCACCTCCTAACGGAGCCACATAAACTGTCAACACACAGTTTAAACTGATAGATGTCACTGTGTTATCAACTGAAAGAAAGACAGTATTCTCACATCTTCTTGGATAATGTATTCTCAGTAGACAAGAGGAGCCAAAAGTAGGCTAAGACTTTGGAGGCCTTATGTTTATTACAAGTAATGCTAGTAATACTGTTACTTCATATAAGTACTGCCAAAAAGCATTTAACCTCAGAGAAAAGAGAAATAGTAAAATTCAATGACCATGATGCAAAGGAGATCTGTAAAATAAATTGCAGAGTCCGACTGTACAGGTGCAGCAGTATACTGGTGTAAAGGAAAAGGTGTCTCAGTTTTAGTATGTAACTATATATATTAGATTATAACTATAACTTTCTCAAGCAGTGATTAAAGTACCAATTTGGCTTCACCCCCTTCGTATCCAGTTTTCAGTATACAGGTGTACCACATAATGGAGCACAGGAGAATTTGCATGTTAATAGGCTGATGAGGTAAGCTGTCTGCTGTGGCAGGTATTTCTCACAAACAGCCTTTGGTGAATCAGTAGCACTGCAAGACCTTCTGGAAAGATATTTGTCACTTGCCGTATTACAAAGTTTAGAAGGAATACTCAAAGCCAGGTTATGGGGTGGACGGGGTGGAGTTGGTGATACTTTCAGGAATATATATTGTATATTTTTATCTCCCTTTTTTCATTTCCAGAAAAGCTTGTTTGTATTAGTCTTAATAGTCATTTAGCCCGCCATACAAAAAAGCCCCCAATAAAACAAACTGAATCTTTGAGGGTAAAAAAAGTGTGTGAGCTTTCACAGTTTTTCTATAACATTAAAACAACATCAAAATTATTAAGTATTTGCAGAGTCTTCAGATACTACTATAATTGTTGTTATTTCATGTGCTTTTTTAACTGGGAATTGTCAGTTAATACATTTATCACTCATTGAGTCAGTCTTACACACCACAAATCAAGGCAAGTTTCTTTCAAAGGACTCCATAATGTATTGCTAGGAAAAATAATACATTGGGTCCACAAGAATAAAGCTGTGATTGATGAAGCATTCACTTGTATGGTGATAAGCATAAATTGTTATATTAAAATGGAACTGCTTTTAAACAAGTAAGTGATCCAATCCATTTCAAACACAAGTCCTTAAAAAGGGAAGATCTTATATGTTAGCCCAATCCCTATTCTGCTGACCATATACATCTTTAAACACATTACATTTCTGAGAAGGCAGTAACACAATTTTCCAACTACTTATGTCTCTAAGACCCAATCAGCTTGGAAGGTCATCAACAAAACCCACTCTCTTGACATGAGTAGGTTTTGGCTCAGGCTCCTTACAGGGTTTATTTTGACAGATAACAACCACGAGTGAAATTACCAAGTATCGTGTTTATTCTTGATACAAAAACTTAGCACAACAAATGCAGTAATTTCAAAAAAATAATTCCCGACAATAGCTGCATAAAGGCAATGCAGTCACAATGTCTTTCCTGACACCAACATTCTGGTCCTCAGTTTTACAAACTTATTTGGCAGGTTTTACCGGTTGGGAAAAGCTCCTCTTGATGCATTCTCCTAGAGCACAGCTTCTGCTCTCTGAGCATCATTGCCCAGGCTTTCCTCAATGCTCACTATGCAGATGAAGGAGCCACAGTTTTGGATCACAGGAGCATAAGAAAAACACTCAGTTCCTGCAGTACCAACAAATCCTCTATTTCAGTGAAACTTTTAATTTACACCAACGTAGAATATGTCCTCTTCTTTTAAGTCCAGAAACTTGATTATCTTTCTCCTATCTGGATATGCAACTATTCTTTCTGTATTACTGGGATGTGCAAACCTGTTGCACCCTTCATTTTATGAAAATGAAAAAAGGGTTCTTTGTTCACACATGTCCTTTTACAAGAAAAAGACTCAGTGTCAGAAAGAGAGAGCACAAACTCCATGCTGTGCAGAGCTCTTATTATCGAAAGGTCATTAAAAAAACAGAACAAAATAACACAGGGCATTTGCAAGGACCTATCCCTAGATACAAGTATGTTTCAAATTAAAGACTAGAAATGACTGCAGCATAAAGAATACTTTGCTGACTAGAAAATCTGGCAAACTCATGTCTTTTACAGATATATCTATTGCATTGTATTTTAAAGTGGCCAGGTTTCATGTTTTCAGCCACATATTCTTGAAATTGTCTGTCTGACTGTAAGCTTGCTTTTTTTTTTTTTTTTTTTTTTTGAATCTTCGACTTTCTTAGACACTTTTTTCATTCTCTTTTCCAATATTTCCCTTGCTGGTATTAAAGCATACAATTTAACGTAAGTTCCTAACAATACCTTCTATTTTTCCACTGTGATTTCCTGACTTGTCAGAATCTTTCTAGATACAGTTTCCCTTAGGCTTATAGAAAATAAATTGTAACTACTCCAAAATTGACAGGGTTTATATGTATGTATTTATGCCTTGTATATATCCTAGGCTCCTGGTCTGCTTGCTTGCCAGTATGATTGATCGACTGTGTCCTGAAAGTTGTTTATAAAAGCCGGCAGACCCCGTGTTTGTACAGATCTGCAAACGCCCAAAGAAAAGCCAGCGCCCGGTGATCTCGCTGTTGGCTCTATTCCTGCAGCCTCGGATAGGAGTGCTATTACGGCGGTGCTTATAACTAATGCCGCGGGCGAGCTGCCCTTCCTCCCCCTCCTCCTCCTCCTCGTCCCTGGGCTGCAGCGGAGCTCCCGCAGCCGCAGGGATTTGCACGGCCGCGGATGGCGGCACAGCGGAGCGGCCCTCGGGGATTGCCAGGGAAAATTAATCAGCTTGTCCTTGCCCAGGCTCCGAGGAGACGGTGGGGGGGCAGTGAGATGGGTTTTGGTTTTTCTTCTCCTGTTTCAGGAGGGTCCCTTGTTCCCCCGGAGTGGCAACTGGGCCACTTCGCAGCCGCGTCACCTGGAGTAAAAATAGAATGTTGAAAAGTAAATTATCCGCGGATTGAGAAGGTTTAGTCCAATGCTTTATTTAGGTTAAAGCCCTGAGCCCCGCCCCGCCCGTCTCCACCTGCCAAGGCGCAGGGTCGGGAGGATCCCTTCCCTATCCGCCCCCATCCGGGGGTCTTTTCCATGTGGATCCCATTATCATCATTTGCTCCTAGTATAAGGGGGATTAAGGCGATTAGAATGAAAATAATTAAATGATTTTTCAAATCACCCCTTCGTGCAAGGGGAAAGAGAAGGAGAGAGAGAGAGAGCGAGAGAAAGGAATACCTGGAGAAACAGAGATGGGGGCTGTGATTCCCTTTTGAAAGGGGTAACTTTTCAGGGAACGGAAGGAAAGGAGGGAGCCCTCGCAGCTGTCAAGTGTTTTCCAAACACTAGAATAATGCTGGCCAGACCTTTGTTGTAACGTGTCTCTACCGTTTTCAAATGGGTTTTCCAACCTGTAGTTGTTAAGTCCCAGCATTGAATAATGAAATCAAAATCAAAAAATTCTCGGACGCTTTGGGGTTTTGTTCTTATTTTGGAGGTGGGAAGATGAAAAACTCTTTTGGGGGTGGAGTCGTTTATTTCTTTGTTGATGGTATGGTGGTTTTTGTTTGGTTTTTTTTTCCCTGTTACAAGCAAAACCTCTCTATTTCATCATTTGGAATACAGCTATGTTCCTGATGAAAGGATTTAAACATATAAAAATAACAGGCGGCTTTTAATCTGATAAAGGGACAATAATTTCGTTAGCTTGTCTTCTTTTTCAATGAAAGTGCTCTAACCAAACTGCTTATATCCATAGCCACATATCCATCCACAGTCACACTTCGGGTTCGTGTATAAATTCGTACCTCACATGTTACTTTTTACACTTGTTTTCTTTTGCAAGGATAAAATTTAGAGATCAAATCCATGTAGGAGAAAAGGCAAAAATTCAAATATTAATTAGTTACAAGTGCCTTTGCTTTCTTTTTTATTTCCCCCCCCCCCCCCAAGGTAACCTTAACATTCCAGAGCATATTGAAATACAGTGGTCCACCTGGGGAAATTCGCGTGAGACATTTTCAAAGATAAAAGGAGACGGTCTTCCCAAGGACCGTGGAAGTTGCTGGAATGGTCACGCCATCTGATTTTCCCAGCTGTGCCTCGATGCGTGCCAGCCCTGCGCGGGCTGGGCCGGGGGCAGGACAGGGACTGCCGGTAGCGCTGCCCCGCCGCAAAACCCGCCTCCGCCTTCGCCCGGGGAGACAAAGTCACTGCAACCAGTCTGTTAACTTCAAATGGGCAGAGACAGCGACATAACACATCCCTTCACAGTTTACAAGTAACTAAATTAAATTTTAAACCCCCTTGGAAGAACTGCTGCTGATGGAGGAGGAAAGCGAGCCGGAGATATGCAGAAAATGCGAAGTTTACAGCCCTAATGCCTCTGCTACCTGAAGGCACAGCGCCAGAGCGGGTAATTCCTTTTACTAATTACTTGACAACAAGGAGATCAAAAAGAAAACCTTGTAGGAAGGACTTCAGGATCTGCAGGAGAGAATAACATGCCTGTGCTCCCTGCATACCCGAAAATCCTAACGTAAATATTGTGGATGCTCTGCTCTCATCGGCCCTAAACACGTCTGCCCACAGGCAACACTGCGGTTTGGTTTTAAAGGTTCTTCTACAGCTGGAAAATTGCCCTGCGGGGTGCTGTTATTTTTAAAAAAGCAGATCTTTCAGGGTGACATTTAAGTATAGACGTTTCTTTGAATCAACGAGGAGGGGAAATCCCGGTTGTTGTCAAAAGTTAATTTTCAGCTATTAGAGAAGTTTTTAATTTCAAATATTTTTCTTTCCTCTATAAACGTTATTGGCCTGCTTTCATAGTTACTAAAAATTTATCCGGCATTCGAAGGCTGAAACCCGGCATTCATTTGGCACTAACTCCTTTAGTAAATACTTGTTATTACCGCGCAGCGCCCTTTGCTCGCCGGGTCTCGCCGCCAGCCCGGCAGTGTAATTCCTACCCACCGAGGCGATCCTTAACGCCAAACCTGCGGCTGCGAGGCGCTTCTCAATTACCAATAAAACCTTTACTGGGACTCGCCTCGAAGCGTCTTTCGAGAGCGCGCTTGTAGGCGCCCGAGCGCTGTTCTGCCTAATGCCTCCCTTCCTGATCGCATTACCGCCCGCTTTCCCGGTACTATTTATGGGCAATAAAAGTTCCCACAGGCCCCGGCCGGGCCGGGATCTCCTCCGGTCAGGACGCAGAGCAGGTGACCGAACTCTCGGGTTTTATTTTTCCCCGCTTCAGTGCCAAACAGAAAATTTCTCGATTTTCCTCCCCTTCATTTCTTCGTGAAGTCACGCATGGAGCTTCGGAGGGGCCGCGGAGTGCCCGCGGTGGCCGGCAGCAGAGGGACCGCGGGGCCGGGCAGGGCGAGGGGCCGCGCTCCGCATCCCTGCGCTGCTCCCCGGCCCCGCCTGCACACACAGCTCCAGGGAACAGGGCGACCGCGCTCCCCGGGATGCCATAGCCGCCTCACCAGGGCAGGTCCGTGCCGTCCAGAAAACGACGAGAGGAGGAAAAAAGAGAGAGAATGAAAAAAAAATACGTGTTTTTTAAAATAACACACACACACAGAGAAATACTCCCACAACAAAACCAACCACCAGTCCAAACAAAAAGTTCAAAACAAAAAGTTCAAAACAAAAACAACACAACCCCAGCAGAGACCGAATCTCATTTACCTTTCGTGGCCGGGAAGGTTGCTATGGTCCTCCCGTCTGGCGGGATGGGGTCTCCTCGGAGATGCCCGTCTCGTCGGCTCCCTGTGTCCCCCAGAAGGACACAAAGCGCCGCACACGCTGCCCGGGCTGGGGCTCCTCGCAGCCCCCCCGCCCTCGCCATATAAGGCACTCCGGGAAAGCCCCGCAGGACCCGCCGGTGCCAAGCGCTGTCCCCCACACTTCGGGTCACCCAACCCCGCCTCAGCTCCTTAAACACGGGGAAACCCTCCTTCTCCAGCAACGCCCTGGTGGGTTTGGTGTTTTCTGTTGCTGGGGTTTTTTTTTGTTGGTGGTTTTGTCTCCCTAAGGGCATGCACTGAGGCTGAGCTCAGCCAGCCCCTCCCAGCCAGCTGGGGCTCCTCGGTCACCCCCAGAGCCGCGGGAGCCCCAGCGCTGCCGGGGCGAGGCTCAGGCTCGGCCGGAGCGGCGGGGTGGCCGAGACGCGTCTGTCTGCTGGGCGTAGGAGCCGGGCTGGATGGAGTCCTCCCTTACACGGACATTTGATTTAAATCTGCCTCCGGGGAAATGCAAAAAAATTGTAACTTAATGGGGGGGGGGGGGTGGAAAACCAAAAGAACACCCAATCCAAAGCTGACAGGAGCTATAGACACTAAATGCGTGTAAGGATGGGAGAAAGAGTAAAAGTAAATAAATCTCGGTTACCTAATTGAAAGGCAGAAGCGAGCCCTTTGTGTACACAGGGTTGCAGGGAGAGGAAAGCCAGAGCACGAGGAAAGCGGGGGGGGAGTTCAGGGGCTTCCCTTGGTCCTGCCGGCGGGAGATTTACCTTCGGCCGGCCGTCTCCCCCATCCAAAGAGAGACAGAAAGAAAGAGAAAAAAAGTGTTAGGAGAAGCCCAGTAACTGGGGCGAAAGACTGGGCGGCGCGGAGAGCAGTCCCGCTGCGGGAAGGGAGTCAGGATTCCCGCGGGGGAATGGGAGCGGGAATGGGATGCTCCTGCAGCACCAGGGGCAAACGGGCAACGAAACTGGAAAGGTGCAATCTTACCTGTGAAAAGAAATAGCACTTTTGGAGTTTCCTTTTTAAAAGTATTTGCACACGTTTCTCTGCAAAAATGCAACAGGATCAAACGGTGCCTCCAAAACCAGCATTATTTATTTGTGGACAAAGCTGAAACTTTGTCATTCCAGCCTAATATGATAATTGACTGAAAGAAGAATCTCAAGTCTTTTGGTGTCTCACATACAACCACAAGTTTTTCTCCCTGCATTTATAGTGAATGCCCAATAATTTCCCAAATGTAGAGGATAATGAATATGATCAAACCCTCTCCTTGGAACTGTGAGTTTATTCACAGAGCACTTGTTTGAAGAATTTAGCTCTTTACCTTGAGGGAGTGCATAATACCAAAGGATGCTCTGGACACATGCTTTCGTGTAAACACATGCAAATCAATCTTATTCCTTCTGTTAATCCCTCTCACCCACAGGAATAACAACTGTGATCAACAGCTCCAATTTTATATCTCTTAGTGTCCTCCACATGCAAATATACTGATGATCTGCACTTTTCAGTTTTCAGTGTTACTACTAAAGGCAGAGCAACCCAAACATTTCTTTTCTCAAATCTTTCAGGTATCTGTCTCCCTGGCATAAAGGAGAGCCTTTCCTCATCAGTCCCAAACTTGTTTGCAACAATCAGCCTCTTCCTGGACACTGATTCCAGGATCATTTCCATGAAAACACCAGGCTGGTAACTCTAAAGACAGTACAACCTGTTCCATTCATCTGTTTCAGTTAAGATGAAAAAAGCAGTCTGATAACAGATCCGTCCTGAAACTCAATGTGCACATATACACATTTCTAAGAAATATCAGTACTTTTTCTGATACCTCCCTTGTACATTGTGGATGCAGTCAGAAGTGCCTTTTACAACTGGTGTGGAATACCCTTGATGTGCAGAATGTGGGTTGTAAAGGACTTGTTTAGTGTCATCAACACTATCTAGAGTCGTGTATACATTGCTAATCAGATGGTGCAACTGCAGAAAAGCAATGGCCTCTCAGCTTACTTTAGGCCATTACAACTGTGAAAGACTGTAGAAAGTCTTCATAAAAATAATGATCACATTCATCTACTGTCATAATTTCCTATCATCATAATTTTCCAGCTACCAGAAATAGTCTTTTGAAAATGAAGGTTTCATGTAGAAATACGAAGCTGGTAAGATAATAGTTAAAAGAGGTAATTTAGTTTTAAAAAAATATGTCCCCCCTCTCATGAGATGTGGGGCTGAAAATATTTAAGACAACTGATTAAATTTTTTTTAAAAAATTCTTCCTACTCAATTTCTCATATTCCCACTTTTACAATTAAAGTGTGGATTTAATTTTCTGTTCATTTATAAGGTTTAGTTATGCAAATGTTATCAGCCTATTAGACACACAGACAGCTATAGCCTACAAGAGATCCCATTGGTGACTTCCAGCCCTCCTCAGGGAGCACAGCAGCAGAGTCAGCAACATTAATCAGTAGTTTACATCCCACAGTTTGAAGCAGTGAATAGGTAAGGTAAACACATATAAATCCTCATGTCTTAGAGAGAAACCTTGCATTAGTCTGTCATATGAAAGGGCAAGAAAAAGAAGGTGAAGAAAACCTTTTGAGGCTCTATTGTCAATATGGAAACTTTCCACGCTGGTCCTAGCACTAAGTGAGAGAGTGGCTGAAGCTCTGGCTGCTGTGAGTGAGAATTAGCTTTTTGGGCAACTGAAAAGGGCAAGGTCAGCAGAACACTCACAGCAGAAATTTTGTACTCAGGAAGAAGTCAGGAGAGAAGTGGCTACTTGTAGTAATTGTAGTGTCAATCTGGGTATCCAAAATACTTACCTCCTCCTACTTTGCCTCCTATTTTTCTGGGAGGCCAGTCATATTGGCCTTGAGTCCCAGTCAATGGCCTCAAGTGGTCCCTTACTGCTCCGTGTGGTGCAATGACAAATCTGGGCACAGGACACTGCAGGAGGTTTCCTGAAAAGTCAGGGGTGAGTTTTACTGCTTAGTTCTTAAAGTAATCTCATCTGCTGCCTCACCTTCTAAGTTGGTGCCATTGTGATTTCTCTTCTTGTGTCTGCACTACTGAAATATACAGGAAAGGAGGGATGAAAATTCGATAATTAGCATGAAAGTAATTTTAATGGCTGGATACTCATTGTTCTCATCTTCCTGAAGTCAGAGTACCTCTTGATTTGATACAACACTTACTACCTAGATACTGGATGGCTGATTCCTAAAATGGTTACATAGGAATTTGCAAAACAAAAAGACACAGCCCTGCATGTTTACACTGGCCAGAGGGTTGTGTTTTATCATCTAACTTCATCCCCACTCTGGGCACTTGCTGTCTGCTCTGAGGGGCAGGCACTGAAAATTTTCAGCCAAACTGAGACCCAAGCTCATTGCCTGATGTTATGTTGCTGAGAAACCCAGGGGCAGCTACTTCATGTTGTAGCATGTAAACTGGAGAAAGCAGAGCAAAAGTCAGAGCCAGAGAAGGACTAAGGTGCTCTGTGGCTGTGGAGCTGTGTGGAAGCTTGGGCAGCACCAACAGCAGCACGAAACTGTGGCCCTACTTTTGGAAAGAAAAAGCAGAGTGTCAGATAAAAGTCAATCAGAAGAGCTGAGATCTAAACAAAAATCTTAAACGAAACAACAAAAAACCCAACTGTACATAGGCAAGAAACTTTTTGGAGTAACACAGATTTCATTGAGAGGTATTTAAAAAAAAGAGTTGCCTGTGGTGTCTCTTGCTTTTCCGAAGGGCACGTTTTACCAGATACCTGCAACAAAAATACCATAAAACATTACCTAGATTATTCAGAAAGCCACTAAGGGGGAAATAAAAAAAGGTTTCTTCAAGGGGAGTTTGATGTGCTGTTTAGCCTGCTCTGTCATTTTTCTTGTCTCTCTTCATAATCTCTATGCAACCCAGAAACCGCCAGTAAAAAAGAGAGACCCTCTGCTTGTTTAATTACTTCCTGAAAATTTGACAACTACTACTTCGGTCTCATTGGATAATCTACTTTTAAATTACCTAGTCTTTCAAAGACAGCATAATTTGAGTACATTTACTTCCCTAGCTATACATCATGCCTATCAAAATTAAATGCTTCCAACATACCAATGCAATGTTTTAACATTTCAGTTCTATGTACATTTAACAGTAAATTTAACTTTTTAACAGATTTTCATACCTTTAGCAGTAAAACGCAGTTAGAATTGGATTATCTTTTTTTCTGATGACAAAGTAAAATTATGTTAAAAAATTATAGCAGTTTATAAAATGCAAAGCTTGGTGTCAAATTTTGTGGTAATTAAAAGGTTTTTCTTTATTCCTGCTAAGACAAAACCTATTTTATTAGTACAATTAATTTCTGAACAAAATATGAACTCAGGCATAACTCATTGAGTTTGCATTTTTGCTCTACATATAATTAAAATTATAAATATTATCTCAAAAGAATTAATATGATTTTCTTCTGATTTTTTTTCAAAATAATAAAATTATTTACAGAAATTTAGAATAGACTGTTCAATGTTCTTTAGCAGACTATTCAACAGCCATTTTAACTGGTGAGTATATAGTTTTTTAGAAATTCTGTTTTTCTGTGATCTGTATGATTATTTGTACTCCTAATCAGAAAACCGAAAATTATCTTAACAACACGCATTGATTATCACCAAAATATGCAATAGGCACGTATTCCGGGTGAGGTCTCTGCAGGGTGTGTGTGTTTTTCAAAGCTGAAAGACTACCCCACACAGCACTGGGATTCCTCCTGTAGAGAAACGGGAAGTGAAAAGCAGTCACAAAAACAGACCTCTCTCCCAGATATTAGCATGGCTTTTGAGCATTCCTCTCTCAGGAAACGCTGAATTTGAGGTCGGTTTTTTTTTTTTTTTCTTTTGTTTGTCTGTAGTGACACATGTCAATAAGCCCTATTTTTAAACAAGAGCAGTTTTAATTGCAGGAATGCATGCAGATCTCATGGTGGATCCTGTTGGTATAGGCACCACATGTGTGTGCATGCATGCAAGCCAGAAGACTGTCTACAG